TTGATCAGGAGCCAAGGTGGCAACTTTCCACGATGCACGATTAATTTTTAAGAAGTGAACAAGTAGATCCAAGACCGTCCAAAATCGGGTCGCTTCTTACCGTTAGATGGGACATAAACGGTTAGGATGTTAAATCATTTTACATAAGAGCCCTTCAATTGCAGTCAATGCATGCAGCTACTCCCTTCATTCCAAAATGTTTGACGCCGTTGATTTTTTAAAAAATGTTTAACCATTCGTCTTATTAAAAAAATTTAAGCAATTATTAATTCTTTTTCTATCATTTGATTTATTGTTAAATATACTTTTATGTATACATATAGTTTATATACATATAGTTTTACACATTTCATAAAAGTTTTTGAATAAGACGAACGGTCAAACATGTTTAAAAAAATCAACGGCGTCAAACATTTAGGGAATGAGGGAGTATTTGTCAACCCGTGTGGGTACCTCATGCTACCCTAAATAGCCTCCAGTGTCATTATATAATTTTCTCTTACAAATACTCCGTATTTGGTATTGGTAACAAACCAAACATACTTTACCTATGTCTGCCTTACCAAATATCAGCAATAGTAAAATTTGGCACTACTTGTTTTTTCGCGAACGCGCAAAAGGATTACACATCAATATATTAGACGAAATCAGAATATAACCTGCCAAGCCTATATAAAGCATATGTCTGCATGTGCATGAAAACTCTATGTAGCCTGCCTCAAGTGATTATACTCAAGTCTGCCCTGCCCTAAGATCAGTTAATTTCCTGATCCATTACATTCTCATGAAGAGATGTACACCAGTATATGAATTGATATGGATCCATAAGCCTATGACTATGAATTGATATGGATCCCATATCAGTCTTCCGGATTTTCCTCTTGGATGAAAAAGAATACAATAGGCTTGGGAGGCATCGCGAATTTGAAGTTAATAGTACTACTTGAGGAAGAGCAAGTTACTGAATGATTTAGAGCTCTTCTGGTTGCTGCTCTTGCTGGGATCATTCTGCCTGGAGCAAAGCCGGAGAGGTATGCGTGTGGGTTGTTTGATTGCCACCCTAAATTTCTCCCTGGCTCAGGCAACTCAATCATGTTCCAGCCACCACAAAGTGACACCAAACTCACTCAAGCATCAAGTAGATGGAAGATTATTTTTGTGATGAACCCAAAAAACAAATGTGTGATTTGAACTAGTTTCAGTTTATTGTACCAAAACATGTAAAGGCTTAGGTATTGAATCAATAATTACAATAGACTGATCACAAAGACAATCATGAGAATTGATGATGGAGGATATATTTGTTCTTTTGAGACATGCATGGTTTTTCAGAGTGCTGCCAATCTGGTTACTACTCCTTTAGATGAGATCGCTTATTGTTATTTAACCTTCAGATGAGATCAGACATTGTCATTATCAAATCTCATTGGTGTACTCCATCTGTTCCAGCATATACAGGGTTTATGTGATTAAATTGTCCGATCCCATCAGCATACGCGGTTTTCTTAATTGGCTATAGTACTGGTGTCATTTAGGAGTATTTACACGAACGAACAATTAGTATAGCACATTTAGTTTAACTTCAATTATCAAATCACAGTATCTCCCCGAGTTTCCCATATTGGAATCACCCTTAATAACTGTATGATAAAGGCAGACAGACTGGGACTAACCAGTTTTTTTTTTTTGTGGACTGGGACACCCTTATTAAGCATTATACATGAAACAAGTGTAATTTCAGTTAGTTCTTTTGTAAATATCAAATTAAAAAACTCCCACTTTGTTTGGAAAGTCTGCCTGATCTCATCCTCCAGTTGAATGCCTGAATGTGCCCACTGAACTTTCTTCAGTTCATTTTCATCAGTCAGTCACCTTTTTCTCACTACTGTACACGCCAACTTAAATACTGGCCAGCATTCATGCTCAGTAATGTTGGTAACCACCATATAATCTATTTTGTGCACTTCCTCTATGTTAGCTTATATATATAAGAAGCAAAGAAAGTATTAAGGTTTGCATGGTTACAGAATGCTCCCAAATCTCAATGTCTCATTGGTCCTCCTCTGAAAACTCACCTTCCTGATTACCATGGTCTTCTCATGGATATATGTATTGGCATGTGAGAATTTCTCTATGTATGTCTACTAGAACGTCTCTTGATTTTTGTGCTTCCATAGCATAATAATAGGCCTAGGAGGTGTCAGGAGCGTCTTAGGTTTTACCCTTTCTTTGCTAGCTACGATCAGGGGTTTGTACAGTTGTTCGATGTACATGGAATTTCCTTGGAATATTCTTTTGCTAGTATGGCGGCATCTAATCCAAATTGCGCTCTCTAGAGTTGAAGCTGGTAGAAATACATCAGTACGAGACAAGATGAAAGTGTGCCGATCGAAAAGAACTGGGAGCTCAGAGTAGATGGATCAAAACACGGATCCTTCGTCGCTGGCAGCCGTCACCGGAGAATTAGGAGGAGGATGAGGCAAAGGCAGCAATGCTCGCTTTCGGGAGAAAGCATCGGAGGTGTTGTGAAATGTGAAAGTTCTAAGCCTCACATTGATAATGGTTTAATCAAACCTAAGCAATAGGAAAGAACATAAGATTAGAAAGTCTAATTATTTGCAATTTTAGCACCAACCACGCAGCAGGCGCAGAAGATTGCTTATTAATTTTTCTTTTTTTACATTATGATCGCTTATTAATTATGAGGTGATATTGTCAGGCCTCCTCGAGAACTAAAAACAGCCATGTTAATAGGCTAATAGCCACCATAAAGCTCACTCTGTGACTATGTGGCCTCTCTGTTTCGCCTATATGAAGTCTAGATGATTACAGTACATATATGCTAGTCTGCTCGCAATGCTCACATTCGTCTCCTTAGCCTTGCTCGGTCTGCCTCTAGATCAAACTTTTGCCGTTTCTTTTACTTGCATATGTTTTGCATCACCATACAAGATATGTTTTATGTGCATATCATAGTGGGCTTGGGAGGGGTCGAGAATGAATTCAGACAGTGGAGGCGGTTCAGCATCAAATTATTATGCACATGTGCACAAAACATATGCCTAGGTTTCAGAAATAAACAAGGAATTGGTAAGAACAATATGAACCTTGCAGCAATTGAGGGTTCTGGTGAAACCGATGGAGACGACAAGGCTGGAGTGCTTGATCTCATCGCTGCTTGATGTTATTGGGAGTTTTCACCCCCAAGTAGGCGTTGGCTGATGGTGAACAAGTTGGTGACCTGAAGGAAGCTTGATCGTAGTGTTGCTTCTTCAGTTCGGCGTTTTGTTTCAGTACTGTTATCTGTTAGCTAGATGTTTGGATGCAGTCCTGAGATCTTGTCATCTGGTTGGCCTGCATACCCATTGTTGCGTGAAATTTAAGCTGGTTCCCAGCAACAATTCTATATTGCTTTCAGTCAAAAGCAGAGCGTAAAAGCCTTTTTTCTAAAAACAAAAAAAATTGATCCTTGGCAAACAGAAAGTTTATCGAAGATCGGATAGATATACTAGAGGTTCCATTTTTTAGTGAAAAACCTAGAATCGCTAAAGGGAAGTTAATGAAGATATATATTTTTTTTAGAATAAGATGAAGATGACATTTTTGTGTCGCTAAACTTTTCAGTAAACTTTGTTTTGTGTGGCTTCAACCAATTAATAAAAGGTGAGCAAATCCAATACTAGAGATACACTAATAAAGTTCTTCAACTTCTTGATGTCATGAAAGAGATTAGACATTCAGAGTCTGATACTTTGTTTCAGACAGACAGTTCAGGATTGGCATCCCTTTTTCTTTCAGAAACTTTGTATTACTTTGCTCAGAGTCCTACATTATGCAGATTATTTTTCTTAAGTTCAATCCAAATGCCTGAATGCGTTTGCTTAAATCCAACTTATTCATTCATCAGCAACAGCATGTGCAAATAATTAGGCATTTACCATTCCAAGTACTATACAGTTTGCAGACACTGAATATCACTTTGGTCAGAATTCATGTGCAGTGATGTACTCCCTTATCACAAATATTAGCAAAATATATGTATGCTCCATCCATTTTGGAATCTATAAAATCTCAATGTCTGCTCTCAATGATGGACATCTCACAAGCCCTGCTCCCAGTGCCACTTGTCTCAGTATGCTACACATCGATGTATTTCTTCGAAAATATGCAATAGGCTTGGGAGGCATCAGGAATGGATGATGCTGCAATACTGTATCTTTTCAAGTTATTTTACATATCCGCACGCCAACTCGGATCAGCTGCAGTCAAACATCAAAAAGGTTGCATTTTGTATCAGCTTTGTTGATTCAGGGCCATATCAACTTGTTCATGCGAGTCTGACTGTGAGACAGCGGTTCGACTGCTGCAATCAAAGAAAAAGGATCACTCTCCTCTGGCCTACATCATCAGCGGAGCGAAGGATCTCATATTGGGAGTGAGAACTTATTGTGACAAAGATTCACAGGCCCCAAAATGGTGTTAGTCATTTGTTAGCTAATACAGCTAGGTATGAGTCTGTTTCAGACTTTTGGTTGGAGGAAAATTGTAATCTAATCTCACATTTAAGTATGTGAGGGCATTTCTTATGAGTAATATATTCCCCCTTCCCGCAAAAAAAAGAAAAAAAAGAAAAAAGAAGGTTCATGCGGCCACAAGTTGAACAGAGGTGTTACTTGTATTGAAGCCTTGGCCGGGCTGCTCCAGGGAGAAGGAAGCCAACTTTTCAAAACAACATGTCATGTCGGGATTTCCTGTGGTTTCTAATTTAAAAAGGTAGCCCAGAATTGAATCTCCATTTGTGATACAGTTCAGTTCAATCATCAGAGACTCCCAGCCCATGTGACTAATCGTTGACGATCATATTTAACACAGAAATATCAGCAGTACCTCGTTTCCTGCATTTTCAACTTCAACTAATGAATTTGAGGTGACCGCGTCAGGACATGCAGAAATTAGATTGTAAAATGTTTGACAAGGTTTGGTACATATGCATATCCGTGTATTAACCAGCTGACATAATTCTCCAGATGGAAGACAATGCATCACGTTTCAAACACCCAACCCACATTGCTGCCACAGAAGCATATAGAATCTTGGTAATACACATATTCGTTTACCTTGAGAGTTTCTTTTCCCATCCTTGCAAGGGGCGTTACATCTTACGACACAAAATTTGAGCATAATGCTCAGAGGTGTACACGGATGGAATACTCATTTGCTCTTCTTGACCTATATGGTACAACACAAGACACATATCAGGTAAAGCTTTATCCTATCAACACCTACAAAACTGTCTGGCCTGTAGTCACTCTGATACAGTTCAGTCTCACAGTAACTCATTGCCAGAAATCTCTTTGAAGCGTGTAGCCATTTTGTAAAGATCTCAGCTCTCGTCGTCTTCGTCTATGCTGGAGAGCAAGCTCTTCAGGGTCTCATAGGTCATGAAGGCAATCCCTACACTAGGAACAACCTTCAGGTACTCAGGGACTATCCCTCTGTAGAAGCCACGAAGGCCTTCCTTCTGAAAGATTTGGCGGATGGTTCCAGTTATGCTTGATTTACAGACTGACGATGTCCCAGCTGCCCCTTGCAGTTGCATTCGTCTCTTTACAAGATCAAGGGGAAATGTGGCTGCAATATTTATAGCATTTTACCAATGGAAATGCTGTGAGTCAGTATTCAGATGACAGAAGTCATGGTGTTCTTTATTCAATAAAGTTTTACAAAAATAAGAAGAAAGGTTAAGAGGAGTTAAACATGGCTTACCAGTAGATGATGCAATACCAGATAGACTCCCAGAAAACAAACTAACAACTGCAGGGGAATCTTGGGGCCTGAAGCACGTCCACAGCCATCAGTTGGAAATGACCAAAATAGATACTCAAATATTATTCAAACGAGAGAAATAATGATGTATTGATGTTCACCTTTCCATTTGCCAATGAGACCTCAATGATTCATATACAGTAAAGCTGATTGCTATGCTAGGTCCGACTCCCTGTAACTTCAAAAATTACAGGCAGCCCAACTTAAAAATTGACATATCTCAGTAAAAGGTTCATGGCCTACCAATAATGTGGCCCCAAGGCCCTTGTACAATCCTTTGACACCCTCATCTCTACAAATGGTAGACACTGCATGAAAGATGCCTTTGTAATACCTGGTTGTTTTCTGCACAAATTTAAGATTAAATTTCTAGTGAATGCCAAATATGAAGCCTCCCAATAGTTGAAATAAAGTAAAATACACTAAGCCCGAAGCCTGCATCATACAAAAATTAATATTTTGGAGATATTAAAGATGATGTTTAAATTCATCAATAAGCAATGTTTTATTTGGAAAAAGGATAGCATTACCTGTGTTGCCAAACGAGTACGGACAACATCCAAGGGATAAGTTACAGATGCAGCAGTAATTCCTGCCAAACCGCCACTAAGTAAACGAGCAACACCAACATAATTTGAGTCTTCATCAAGGCCAGGAACCCTTTGGAGAAACTGCAATGATATTTCACATCATTTAGCTAATGATAATAAAATGCAGAACCTCATCATAATTCATGCATTAAGTGCTAACGAACTGCTTACTTTTTTGTAGCGCTCATATGAATAAAAGCTGATGGCAGAATAAGGTAAACGATGCACAATTGTCACCAGATTGCCTTTCCAAAATGCTCCAAATCCTTCTTCTCGAACTATTCGTGAAGCTTCATGCCATATGCTGTACTTCTTTAGAGCTGCCACATCTGAATGCATACCTGCCACCTGTCAGATCAGTATGTCAAGCACGTGCAATAACAAACCTTATTCAGTAGTTATAATTTAATCTAATACCAGGCACAGAACAGAAATAAGTAGCTCGTTATTATGAAGCAGGAATCACAAGGTTTAGACACATAGTTAAGCATAACAATGCCATGCATCAACTCTGTATCTAGTAAGAGAATAGGGGAACTCCATATGGTATCGATTTGCTGCTTTTGATGCACGATTGGACCAACTACCTATTGTTGACCAATTATTTTTTATACAAAGTGAGGTGAGAACACTTTATATCATGTATGGAAGTAATTTGAGCACTAATCAGTATGTACAACAAAAATACCAAATTAGATCCTTTCTGGCACCTTTACAGTGAACAAAGGAATACTTAAATGCGCAAAAAACAATATTTATAAGAAGCTTTTTCTTCAGCGACACACGATGGTATGTTCCTGCCTCTATACAAACCACTGGCTGCCATCACATTGGGAACCTATTTTTTTCCTATAACCCTTTGAACAATAATAGACTGAAATTAAAGAAACAAAAGGAATACTTGCCTTCTGTTCCTGTTAGATTTCAGTCCCTGCTAACTGGAACGCCTACAATGGCATGAAAAGGATTGTTCCAAACTGCCGTTAGCCTTGTGCGGGCACAAATTGAGGCACGTATATAATAAGATTTCCATAGGTGCCCAAATCTCCAAAGTTTTCTAACACGCTAAGAAAGGAAAATTATTCTTCAGTGCGATATTTTGCATCTAAAGTTGTCAACATAATAAATACAAATTTTACCGGAGAATTGAACTAGTAAGAAAATGTCAATACACGAAAACTCTGCTGCCGTTTTTAGCTTCCATTGACGACTAACAATCTAACAGCAAGATGCTTCACTATAGTACCTCACTATTACAATTCAATTCCTTTCAAGGTGCTTTTGTGCCAAGCAATAAGTAGCGGTACAGCGCTTATAAACAAAGAAAAGCTTCCCTCAGGCTTACATTTTCACCAGTCACTACTCACTACTGGAGTACTCCCACCGTTTCTGAGTGACAAAAGAAGTCATATTTGTCTTATGCTTTCTTTACTCCCAGTTCCTTATTAGGGCACACAGGATTCCAAAACAACAACACATGGTATGCTGTACTACAATTGTACTGGTTTCACCCACAGGAAGAGAAATCCCTATGTGTTCAAAAGGGAGACTCCTTTATGGTCAAATCATTTATTAAACACATGTTAAAGCAACACACAACAAGGTTATTAGTAACAAACGTCGTAGCTGCTCGTGCCAACCAATCCCTACATCCAAAAAAAAAAAGGAGGGGAGGAAACATCTTCCTCCCCGAATTCCACTTGCGAGACAAGGAAAATTAACAAAATTCGCCTCCGCAGTAGCAGTAGCTCCCAATCCCCTCCTCCTCCTCGCCGTATCCAGTACATCCACCCCCAATACTGCCCGTACGGACGAAGAGCGAAATCTCAGGCAGGGAAATGCTGGGGGGACGCGCTCACCTGGAAGAGGATGGTGAGGCGGGCGAGTGGGGCGGTGCAGGTCTTGCTGACGGCGCCGGCGAAGCCCCCGGCGGCGAGGTGGGCGACGGTGCCGATGTGGCGGCGGCCCATGGCGGCGCGGCCGCCGTCGACGACGACCCCGACCCGCGCCTCCGTCTGCATGGGATTCGGATAGGGGTAGGGCTAGGGTTGGAATCGAGGCGAAGCGAAGCGGCTGGTGGTTTCGCCGCCGCCTGGAGGTGAGGTGAGGTGAGGAATTCGAAGCAGAGAGAGAGAGGGGGGGGGGAAGGTTGGGCGCGTAGTGTCATCCACCTCCTCACGTTTGTTTTACCCTACCTTATTTTAATAATGATAATTTTTTTTCCATTATTGTGTATGTAGTACGAGTAAGTACATGTTTATGTTTTTTTAAAAAAAATTTTGTGATGTGGCACAAATTTGAGTAAAAACTGAAGGAAAATTTTGAGTTAAACATATAAAAGATATTTTGTTTGGGTATTGAAATTTATTTTGTAATGCGTAATATGTTGTTTTTTTTGGGAAAAATATAATGCAAATGTGCACGCTTATGGCCCTGTTTGGGGGAGCTTATCTCAGCTGCAGCTTTTTCCAAAAGCTGCTTCTGCTAGAAGCTGCCCCAAACAGTCCACAACTTTTGAGAATCTGTAGTTATATATTCTGAAAAATGAACTAAGAAGCTAGAACCTGGAGAAGCTGGGTTTAGAACTTTTTCAGATCAGAAGCTGGCTACCAAACAGCTGCTTCTCAGAATCTAAAGCTCCCCCAAACAGGCCCTATATAGGCACACGCAGATTGTTCCCAACAATCGGCACACGCAAATGTTATCCATATGAACATCCTCGAGAAAATAGACTAAGATTGGCAAAGTCAAGTCACAACAAATACCTCACTATTGATCGTCATTTTGTTTATTACTAGAAAAATAATTAATTGTAAATACGATCATCTGTTATGAGTCGGAGACTCAAGCCCACATGTACCAAAAGGAATTTAACCAACGGAGCGTTTATGTCATGATCTTCAAATCTAAATTGCATTCATGGAGATATACTCTGTGTGAACCAAATGTCGGAGCAAACCAAATTCGGTATATCAGTATATGTCGTTTAACCTTTTCTTTGTACGTTGAAATGACTTGTTGGTGCAAGCTAGTATCAAATTGATGTAGAAAATACGCTAAACTAAATTAATCAAGTGTGCTGAGAGTTCACCGAATTTGGCAAGATAAGGTCATGTATTGAGGACATGTCTAGCTATTGGCTAAGCAATAATTAATGAAAAATGAACACATCATTATAACTTGTATATCTTGTCCAAGTTGCAATGTCATGGATTCATGAAAACAGATGCAGTAGGAAGAGGATAGGCAACAGCCTGAAACAGGAAAGGAAGCCTGAAACAGCTTAGGCATTTGGCCGCCCCTAGTTTTCTTCAGAAAAACCAGCTGAAACCTTGCCAGATCATGCAGCATTGAGCATGGTCAATGTCACCTGCTAGATAGTGTCATTGTCACTTGCGACGGACAGAGATGCTTGACGATTGTGGATTAATTGGCCTCGTTAATAATGCCATTATAAACTCTGAATATCCACCATACTTAGTTTTGTCTTGACTTTAAGCAATAATAATATACTTAAATCAGTAAGATAAAAGTATTTACTTTTATAAAGATCCTTCTGTGATTTGATAAGACGTTAGCAACTCGATCACACATGTCATTATCAATATTTTTTTCAAATCTGGATTATCAATGATTATTCGCAGAAGTGTTCTCTTTCAGGCTAGCAAGCTGTAAGCCTAGCAGCGATTAAGAATGTGACTCTGGGCTTCTCGATGGTACAAGAGGATCGATCAGCCCATTTTGAGGCCCAAAATTCGGAGCTACTACGAATTTGGCCCATAAGTAGAGAACGGATAATAAAGCAGTTGGGCCTTCGGAACGGGATACTGGCCAACATGCGGGCCAGATCTACTCTGGGCCTCCGTGGCTCCAAGCGAGGGAGCAACAGTTTCCGGCCCACGATATCCGAAGCGATGGGCCTCCCGGACGTATGGAACGTTGGGCCTTCACTAAGGCCCAAAGTTTACAACGCGAACACAAAGTCCGGTCCATAATCCGACGAAGGCCTTTATAGGACGCAGATATTTGGGAGGATCGCTATCAATTATAGCGATCTGTCATTCTTACATTTAGGTCCCTATCTGGATATTAACTTTTTACAATCAGGTCCTCGTCGGCCTCGTCATCGTCGTGGATCCATGGGCTACTCCGTAACCGCGAGGTCGTCGGCCGCTACGCCAATCCACCCATGACTTCTTCATCGCCCTGCTTCCCTCGCAAGCATATTCCGATGATCTCGCCGTCATGGAGCGGGATGCCGCCGCCATTTTAGGCGCTCACGGTGGTTGTCGGGGTCTGGGAGTGGGAGTGGACGACAGTTGGGGGCGGTAAGCAGCAAGGCCACTTCACGGAGGTAGCGGCGCCGGAGGTGGCAGGCCGAGGTGGAGGCGGAGGCGGAGGAGCGGCGGCGCCGGAGATGGAATCGAGCCTCGTGAGTCGTCGTCGACGGCGGCGGCGGCGAGAGAGACACCGAGCCCGTATCGGTATCAGATTTAAGTTGGGCCGGAATCCGATTCCAGCCTATGTAAAACAAACGGGTGAATAATCAATTAATCATATTATTCAAAATGTGGCCGATTCAAATGTGAATAATCCGATTCCAAATGTGGCCGAACCAAACATATTATTCAAATCCAATTCGGACTACACTAATCGATTCCTACTACGAACGGATGAATTATCATGGCGCGAGTTACAAATAGCTAAGCGAAGCTATTGTTTTATTGTTAGGAGAGCTTACAAGGGATCAAGGTGGTAATAATTAATTAACACATCCACGCACGTACGCGTAAGTGTCTCACTCGTAGGGCACCATGGTGACCACCCGGAGCATGGCAGTGAGGGAAAAGATGATGAAGAGGAAGAGGTTGTCACCGGTACCGGCGGCGATGGAGTTGGCGCTTTACCACGATAACATCGTCCACGTCGCCTGCCTTGTGGCTGCTACCTCACCGGAGCCAATTGCCGACCTACTCAGTCTACGTGCTACATATGTTAACTTGTTAATATAAACTTATTTATATATGTATATGGAAATACTTTGTATATTGACTGTGTGTGTATTGGTGGTAAACACGTACTGCAGCTGCAAGGCCATGCACGCGGCGGTCAAGGAGCGCGACGTCGGGAAACGTGTGCGCTGGAGAGGCTAGATAACATGAAGTGGGTGGAGAACGAGCGCTACCTCGTCGCCGCGGACAACCCGGACACTTGCTTCATCATCGGTGTCACGCTCGTCTTCGCACAGCAGGACATGGCCCAGGGCCTTTTCCTCCTTGACAAGGCTGCCACCGCGGGCCACAAGACAGCGGCCTACGTGCTCGGCCTCCTCCTCTACAAGTCCGATGAGGCTCGCGCCACTGGGAAAAAGTACATCAGCCAAGTTGAGGGCGACGGTGATGAGGCGGCGACGACCGATGCCGGGAACAAGAGGACCAACCAGGAGTGCCGACGGTGCCGAAAGATCGCTGAGGATGCCGTCCAGGAGGTGATGTGGAAGGTCGTTAGGAGGCGTGGCCAATTGCTAGTCCTACCTGAGGACAACCACCAGTGCACAACCATCGGTTGTGGTCTGGAGTTGGGATGGGAAGGCTACGAAGGCTTTTGCAGTGACAGTTGTAGGATTAAGCATGAATACTCCAAGTTCTTCACAGAGGTGATGAACTACTTGCCATAGTTCCCAAACAACCACCAGTTGTGGTCTGGAGTTGGGATGGGAAGGCTACGAAGGCTTTTGCAGTGACGGCTGTAGGATTAAGCATGAATACTCCAAGTTCTTCACAGAGGTGATGAACTACTTGCCATAGTTCCCAAACAACCACCAGTTGTGGTCTGGAGTTGGGATGGGAAGGCTACGAAGGCTTTTGCAGTGACGGCTGTAGGATTAAGCATGAATACTCCAAGTTCTTCACAGAGGTGATGAACTACTTGCCATAGTTCCCAAACAACCACCAGTTGTGGTCTGGAGTTGGGATGGGAAGGCTACGAAGGCTTTTGCAGTGACGGCTGTAGGATTAAGCATGAATACTCCAAGTTCTTCACAGAGGTGATGAACTACTTGCCATAGTTCCCAAACAACCACCAGTTGTGGTCTGGAGTTGGGATGGGAAGGCTACGAAGGCTTTTGCAGTGACGGCTGTAGGATTAAGCATGAATACTCCAAGTTCTTCACAGAGGTGATGAACTACTTGCCATAGTTCCCAAACAACCACCAGTTGTGGTCTGGAGTTGGGATGGGAAGGCTACGAAGGCTTTTGCAGTGACGGCTGTAGGATTAAGCATGAATACTCCAAGTTCTTCACAGAGGTGATGAACTACTTGCCATAGCTGTGAAGAACTACTTGCCATAGTTCCCAAACAATCAGAAGACGTGTGAATTTAGAGAAAAACTATGTGTTTTCAGCAAATTAGATTTGCATGTCTGGTACTTTTAAGTAACGAGTGCACATGGCTAAAGGGAAAGGAATGAAACAAAGCAACATCAGTGTAGATGAAAATCACAGAATATCCTAACTGAAGCATTTCCATTGGTTCCAACATCCAGGTTCATGACTCATGAGCCATTATGATACTGCCAAAAAACTTGGTCACGACAACGACCTTAAACGCCTAAATAAGCATACATTCACAATTCATGGTCCATGTATACTTATAGAAAGGAGCGGTTCACAGCCCTCAAAACTAATCTTATGGCAAGGAAATGATTGTGTTAATCATTAATTCCTAACAAAATCCTTCAGCCGCCTCAGCCAGATGAGGTATTCTCGGCTGTCCTTGTTGATCATGTACTCGTGTAGGAAGTTTGTGGCCATGGGCGTAATCCCGCGCATCTCCAGGTACTTGTGGAATGCCCTTTGCAGGTTTTCATCAAGGTCACTGCAGCAGACAAAGGGCAAGGTGTTGAACATTAGCACTCGGTGACAGTGATTAGTTGAAGAATTTGAGTGTTCAATAAATTTAAATACACTAGGTTTGGTTTTCTTACTTGAAATCAGGGCCCTCATACGTGATCATTTCATCTTCCCCACTCTCTGATGGCATCACAGACAAGGCATCGATGAGGATCTCATCAGGATAGGCAGTGCAGATGAATTCAAGGCTTGGTCCCTCTTCTCCCTTCGAGATGGTGACAGTTAGAGGAATGCTAGATTTTGGGGCCTTCTGAGTTTCTTCCTCCTGATCATCCTCGTTTCTGTCCTCATCAGCCTCATTCTCACGGTCAGGTTCATCGCCAGTCACAAGACTGGGCATGGAAACTAGAACCTCAATATTCTCACCCTGGTAAGTTCTTGTGAGAGTAATTGAATTAAAGCCCTTTTCATCACTAATTTTAAAGGGGAAGTTGTCAGGAATCTCCTCAACCTGTGTCAGGATGAAAAAGAAAATGAGGCTCTCAGACAGACAGTGACAGAAAATTGCTCCTGGAAAAGCATGGAAATTGTTCAAAGCAAAGATGAAAGTAAAACATAGTGTTCTCAGAAGAAAAATATAACTGGGAGTTCAATTATTTCTGACCCTCATGGTTTCTTTTTGCATTGTATGTGTACAACTCTACACTAAATCATGCCATAATTAAAATTTGATGCAAGACTAGATCACCAGAACGAGATGCTTGATGTCAAAACAGCAGGGATTGCAAAGTCTTATATCTGTGTGATAGAAACTACACTTCCTTTGTTGGTTTTTCTTCTCTTCAAACAAGCAAGAAATATCAAACAGTGCATGATGCAAAAGCATGGATGCTTTTAGGCTTGGAAACTTAGGAGCATAACCCAAAAAGGTCGTTAGAACACCATTTTTCCAGCCCAAGTACATAACATTAAATTGACCAGCACTTTAATGCATTAAGCTTATATATGAATACAAAATATAAGTATGTATAATATGCATAGAGTAATCAAGCTGGCATGAAAACTTAAACTGTACAGTTCGAGAAAAATAATCAGGTCCCCTCAAAAACTCAAGAAAAAGGACAGGGACTAGACACAATGATTCATAAAACACCAACAGAGTTTTAAGCAGCAGAAAAGTTTCAAAATAAAAGATTTTAGAAACCAACATTAATAGAATAAGACTACAGGGGGGAAAAGGTAATAATAAAGAGCACAAGAGGTTATAATAAAGAACACAAGGAACAAGAGCAAAAGGAACATTGAGTTCTTACACAGAGAAACACATGAATCATTGCACAAAATTAAGCACAGTACAATATGATCAAACACAAAAATAGTGCCATAACTGCAAAGAAGTGACACCCAAAATATATTTATAATCAAGAGATGTTGAGGTTAAACATGGGCATGAAAAAGTGGAATACCAAATATATATTTGTACCAAGTACTACCTCAGTCTCAGCAGAGCAATGACCACGCTATAAACATAATAACGCTACCAATATATCCTTGTACCAAAATACTACCACACAATCTCAACAGAACAATAAGTATGCTTCACGCTACCAATTGCAGAAGGAAGTAGAAGAACAAAATACCTAAAATAAGTGAGTAAATAACAGACGCCCAATTCCCACTACTGAAATATACTAAGAACGTAATGCAAACCAGCAGATGAACTATCTAACAAAGGCAGGGCTGCTACTTTGATTCCATCCATGCTAATATGAACAAAATTACAGAAAATAAAGGGGATTCAGGATGCCAAAAAAAAAAAGAGGCTCTTCTTTTACGACATACGGACAGAGCGAAATAGCAAAATTAGTGAGATCCCGGGAACTCGCGCACGCACCCGGTCGTGGTCGTCGCTCTCCTCGGCGAACTTGATCTCGGCGTCGATGATGCGGAGGAGCTCGCCATCTGAGCTGGGCCTCGTGGAGGGGGCCGACGAGAAGGGCATCGAGCGAGGCTGCGGCCGCGCCGCGGCGGCGGCGGCCAGGGGGCGGAGCAGGGCGGCGGCGCCGCGGGTGGTCCCCGCGGCGGAGGCGGAGGCGCGGAGGAGGGGGAGGGTGGAGGTGGCGGCGCGGCGAGCGGCGGCGAAGAGAGCCATGGCGACCCGTGCGGCGGCGCGGACGAAAGGTTAGGGTTTTCGGGGGTTTAGGAGGAGTTTTTTTCTGGAAGATGGGGAGGCGAGAATTTGTGTTGTTTTAAGAAGGGAATTTTTTTTTTAAAAAAAAGGTAGGGGCATGGGCCCCACCTGTCATTCTGTCAAAACTTGGTCAGTATGTTCATTCGATCTATAAGCAATATTCTTCGCTTCTTGGAGAGGAAGAAAAATAGTTCTGTCGCCATAACTTATTAGACCCGTTCCTTTTTCATTAAAATTTAAATTTTACATCGATTTTCCTTAGCAATATTTTTTAAACGGCTAAATGGTGTATTTATATGAAAACTTTGTATATAAAAGTTGCTTTATAATATCAAATAAATCTATTTTTTATGTTTGTAACAATTACAACTCAATTAATCATGTGCTAATGGATTTTTTCTATATCCTAATTTTGTATTCATTTTCAGTAAAAACAAACACCACTTTACTCCCTTCATCGAAAAAACATTTCTAGATAGGAACCTCGGCATAGGCATATTCAGGTTCGAGATAGAAGTTTTTTTTTACGCAGGGAGTAAATGTTCACATTTTTGACAAAAATGCAAGAAACTGTGAAAATTCAAGGTTTTGATGTGGGACAAAAGCTATTCCGTGTGAAATTTTTGAATCACTTTTGAGAATTCAAATTTGAAACATTAAATTTGATGGGGATTTTTGGTTTTACCAAAATTTGATGAAAACCTTCATACCATTACCATTAGGAGTTGGAATCCGGCACTCAATTGAAAAGTTGAACCTGAGGATTTACTGCCTATTGCAGTGGAGCCTAACTCCCATAATTTTGAGGTGCCAATGACTATCTCCTTAGTTTAACTCAATTTGATCATTCCAATTTGTAAGCTAGCTATACAATAACAAATAGTATTATACATGATGAATAAATTGCATTAATGGTACATCAACTTAACATGCAAGTGCAATTTAGTGTAAAAACTTGAGAAGTAAGCGTGGTAGCGCAACAATTTGATATGTGGGTACAATCTAGTACAAGAATCTAACAAGTGAGCGCACGGATGCAACGCCTTGCAAGGTTGGTGTGATTTGCTATAATAACATAAGAAGTGATGGAACAACTAAATCATTTCGAGCATTTTTTCTATACTCATTTTGTTTTTTTACTTATTTTGTTAATATACTGTAGATTTCTCTAAGTATACTTAATTTGTGTCATTCAGGTAATTAAAGTATACTTAATTTGTGTTATATGGTGGGACAAGTAGAAAGGGCAAAATCTCCTTATATTATGGGACTGAGGGAGTAGTAGCATCTACGCACAGTGACACCCTTCGCCGGTGACCATGCCAATTCTTATGGACAAGGACTGAAGGACAGGGGACAACGAACAATAAGATGAATAGATGATGGGATCAGGGCTGGATCGGCGGCTGGCCCTGCATCTGCATGTTCCTCTCTTGCTCTTCGCGCAGCTTGCGCCTCGTCACCAGCTCCATCTCTTGCTCTTCGATCAGCGGCCGCCTCCTCTCTTCCTCCTCAAGCTGCATATGCAATCCCGAGTTACCGCCGCGCGACTGGAGCGGGTCTACCACATGAGCATGTGTCAGCAGAGCCCATAGGATCGTTATAAACTCGCCGCCGGTCGCCATCCTGGTGGCGTGTGCCACCGCCCTATCCGACGGGGAGATGTACAGCATCAGGTTCGCCCAGAAAGCGGCGAGCACCTTCCACCGCTCTCTCGTGTCCTCGATCCTATCGACGAGGTACACGGCGACACTCGCGCCCTGAGACAGGATCTTAAGCACGTTCACCGTGTCGTTGCTCGTCGAGTTGTCCAGCTCGATCATCTTCTTCACCTTCTCCTCGTCGGAGTCGTAGCTGTAGATGATGTCCTTGCTTTTCTGCGCCATCTCGTGGTCCATCACTATTTTCGAGCGCCCCAGCTCGATCAGCTTCTTGTACTTTTCCCCGTGGGACTTGCAGCCGCCGAGGAAGTCCCGGGCATTTTGCAGCGTGCCTTGAACTGTCGACGTGCTCCTGTACGTGTTGTCCTGCACTAGCTCCGGCTGGAACGCTAGCAGGTACGCGCAGTACCCTGACAACTTCATTGCGACCTCGTGATTCCTCGCGAACTCGTCGTCGGTGGTGGTAGCGCCGTTCTCCATGCTCAGCCCGTAGTCACAGATGCTAGTGGCAATGTGCCACTTCAGGATGTAATTAGCGTATGGGTTGCCGAGCAAGACGTCACGATCGAGGTCCATGTCGATGATGCCCTTCTGATACAACCACATCCTCCCGTCGGTGATGTTGCCGTTGCAGTTCTTGAGCTCACGGAGCACGGCGTGGCTCACCTCCGGTGTCAAGCGGATGGAGCGAGTCATCAGCCATGAGTCCAGGGCCTTGGCCTCGATGGAGAACCATGATAGGAAGGTCTTGATCCAGTGAGGATGAATGTTGTCTAGGAGGAAGTATTGGCCGATGGTTCCCTTCCAGTACCTCGTGATGGTACTGAAATGGCACAACACCTTGAGTGGGACCTCCATGAGCGCCCTGTGCCATGACTCATTGCGCACGTACCGACACATCATCTTCACCTTGTGCCAATCAGAGAAGATGAAGGTAAAGAACTGATAGGACTCGAGGAAGATGTACCAAACGATTACCAAACGGGTGACAAGGAGGTCAAGGTTGAAGCCATGGATGATGATGTTGCTGGCATCTCCACCGTCTCCGGGACCAGGCCGAAGCGGCCGGTATCGGAGAAGGTCCGGGGAGAAGAGGGTGAATAGGCTTGTCGTGAGGATCGCGACATACACAGCAAGGTCAGGAGCCAGGCTGTTCTTGATAGATGGATAACGGGCATAGAAGAAATCAAAGAGGAACCCAAGCTCGGCCTCGACCACCCGGTACGCCCTATCGAGGTCTTGGTCATCGGCGAGGAGCCCCTTGACGACGAAGTCCCATGACTTGCCTTCTTGGAAAGGGAGGGCAAAACGACCAACATGATCGACGGCAAACCTTAACCTGAGCATCTTGAAGAGGGCGAAGGACAGGCATAGGTCCCGCCGCCGCGCCACACCTTGATCCCTTCGACCGTCGCTCAACTTCAGCAGTTTCCCTTTGCATTGCCAGACCTTCTCGACATCCACCGTCTCCGGAACCCCGTAGGCTACCTGTTTGACTTGCTGCCCGAACTCCACCTTCTCCACCTCTTTGCCATCGACGAGGTAGATGTACTCCTTCATGGTTTCGGGGTCATAGTTGCCCTTACAAGATCGGACGCCGGTGCTGCTCGGTGGCTCATGCTCTATGTAATCCAACACGACCTGGTTCTCCTTGGTGAGCCCACGGGAGCGATTCGTCGACAGGTACGCCTTGACCCTCAACCCCAACCGCACCACGCTCAAGCTCCAGATATAGTTGGCCATATGGCCCGAGGCCCGATGGCCCAGCCCATGGCACGGGAATTTGGCCCGGCCCAAGCACGGCACGGCCCGGTAGCAATCGGGCCCATGCCGGCCCGGCATGACTATTGGGCCATGCCTGGGCCTATGGCTGGGCACGGTGGGCCGGCCCGGCACGGCACGGACCGAGGTCGGCACGATGGGCCGGCCCGGCACGGCACGGCCCAACGGTCGGCACGACCACGGCCCGTACCAACGGTAGGCACGAGCACGGCCCAGCCCAACAGACAGCCAGGCCGCGCCGTGTGCGCCCGCATATATAAGCCAGCGAGCGCCGCCCCTCCCCTCCCCAGTCCCCTCTCGCCTCTCGCTCTCCGCCTCTCCGCCTCTCCGCCTAACCCTAACCCTAGCCGCCACCGCTCAACCGCCTCCGCCGATCCGCCTCCGACGCTCCACCGCCCACTAGATCTCCTCCTCCACCGTCCGCCGCTCACTCACTCAGGGCCTCAGGCGCGCACCGGTGAGACTCACCGAGTCGCCTCCCTTCCACTCTTCCAGATCCAGCCTTCCTCTTCGTCTCCGATCGATGCCTCGCCTGACTCGCATGAGGGGCGCATGAGGATGGGGGCCACCGGCCACGCATGGTCGCCTGAGTCATCGTCCTTCCACTCTTCCAGATCCAGCCTTCCTCTTCGTCTCTTTCCCTTTTGTTCTTCTTCGCCAGATCCCTTGGTCTTCTCGTAGATCTCTGAGCCTATCGTCTTCAACGGCAACTCTGGTGCTCCGGCTGCGCAGTTACAAGCATGGAACCATCATTTTTCTTTTTTTTTTCTCCATTTCCGACCCTAACCTTGAGTGTTGTTGGCTGCTTGCAGGTCGCAAGCCCGTTGCTTAGCGGCAGCCGCCGTTGAGGGACCAGAGTGCCTGCGATGGACGACGATCCTACCTCTGTCAACTACGAGTTGAGGACTATGGGGATGCGCGGTGATGACGATGATGATGTGGAGGAGGATCGTGTGGAGGTGTTCGGCAATACCTCCGACATCCCGATCCATGTGAATGTCGATGACGACGACCCGCCGGTCGACGACAGTGGCAATGGGACGCCGACTGGCTCTAGTGCGACTTGTACCAACAAGAAGACCAAAACCTCCAAGGTATGGGATGACTTTGAGGAACTTTATGAAACGACCAATGGTAATAGGGTTCGAGTCTCTGCTAAATGCAATTACTGTCATAAAACTTTGAGTGCTCGTTCTTCTGCTGGCACTGGACATTTGCTTAGGCATATTAAGTCATGCAAACCTAGAAAGCTTGGGTCTAATGCTTTGCCTCAGTCCATGCTTAGATTTAGTGCAGATGGTTCTGTTATTCCATGGGAATATAGTCCTGAAGTTGCTAGGTTTGAATTGTGTAGATTGATTGCTAGAGAGGATCTTCCAATCAGTTTTGGTCAATCTCCTGCTTTTGTGAACTATATTAAGGTTGCTCATAACCCTAGATTTGTTCCTGTCTCTAGACAAACTACTACCAGAGATTTTTATAAGTTGTTTAAGGATCGTCGTTCTGTTATTATTGATCGTCTCAATTCTGCTAGCTCTATTGCTTTGACATCTGATATATGGTCTGGTCATGCTAAGGAAGATTATTTGAGTGTTGTAGATCACTTTGTTAGTTCTGATTGGCAATTAGAAAAGAGGGTCTTGGGTCTTAGGCTTATTGATGAGTCACATACTGGTGCTAATATTGCTGAGCGTGTGATTGCTGTTGCTGAAGAATATGGTATTACTGATAAGGTTTTCTCTATTACATTAGACAATGCTTCTGCTAATTCTAAAGCTATGGACACCCTTACTCCTGCTCTGTCTGGTTATATTGGTGATTTATTTTTGCATCAACGCTGTGCATGTCATATCATCAATTTGATTGTTAAGGCTGGACTTGACAAGTTCAAGCCCATGCTAAATGACATTAGAGCTGCCATTTCATTCTTGAATGCATCTAATCAGCGCATTGCTACATATAAAAATGTTTGCATTGCTGCGGGTTATCGTCCTCGTATGTTTGGTTTGGACATGGATGTTAGATGGAATTCAACTTATCTAATGCTTAAGCATCTCATACCACATAGGGAACCATTCACAGTATTTATTAGTACACAACATCCTTTTGTTAATGACCATCCATTACTCACAGACTTACATTGGGCATGTGCTGAATCTGTTTTGTGTTTCCTTGAACAATTTTATGATTCAACTGTTGTTTTGTCTGGTGTTTATTATCCAACATCTCCATTAATCATGCATCACATTTTAGAGATTGCTGGACATCTAAACACATATGGCAATGTTCAAAACCTTGCAAATGTTGTTGGTCCCATGAAAACTAAGTTTATGAACTACTGGTCTAAAATTCCAATTCTTTATTCATTTGCATTTATCTTGGACCCTAGGGCCAAGATTAGGGGGTTTAGTAAAGTGCTTCAGATTATGGCTCAACTCATTGGTGATGATTACTCTGCTTATTTAACAACTGTTAGAGCTTCATTGTCTGATACTTTTGCTAAGTATGAAAGAAAGTTTGGTTCTGTTAGATTGCATAGTTCCACTATTCCAGGCCCTTCCACTGGTAAGAAAAGGACTGCATGGGGGAAGATTTTTGGTTCTGTTGTTGCTGCTGGGCTTGGTGCTGGTAATGCAGGTGCCAGTCCAGGTGCTGGTAATGCTGGTGCCAGTTCAGGTGCTGGGCTTGGTGCTGGTAATGCTGGTGCCAGTCCAGGTGCTGGGCTTGGTGCTGGTTCATTATCCAGGATGACATCTGCTACTGCTTTGCTTCAGGCAGCTTCTTCAACTGCTAATCTCAATCCTTCTGAACTGTCTGCATATCTTGACAGTGACACTGTCAACCAATATGATGATGACTTCAATATCCTTAGTTGGTGGCAACAGCACAAACTAACTTATCATGTTCTTTCAATCTTAGCTAAAGATGTTATGACTGTTCCTGTTTCTACTATATCGTCCGAGTCTACTTTTAGCTTAACTGGCAGGATCATCGAGGACCGTCGGCGGCGTCTAAACCATAGGCTGGTGGAAATTCTGGCAGTGATCAAGGACTGGGAGCTAGCAGATGCAAAAAGTCAGCATACTACTGAGAATGTGGAGCTTCAAAATGCTTATGAGAATATGTATCTTGATGATGAAATTGATGTAAACCCTTGAACTGGATGATTGTAATTGATATGAACATTTTAGCTATGGGCTGTACTCTTTTCCTTTCTAGGGTTTTCTCACGAGGTGTGTGTTTTTACCTAGAAAGGTTTTTAACGAGGCACCATTGCATAATCACAGCTTATATAAACCCCTTTTATATTCTAACTTTCTGAGGTTTGTGATTCTAAGATGGACTTGATGGAAAATAGTAGATGACTTGATGTATGCATTTGATGAATTGATTTGAACTGATTGTAAATCTGTGAGACTGTGACTTGATGAATTGGTGACTTGAAGAATTGTTCATTTGTTTGTAAATCTGTGCTTGTAAATCTGTGACGTGATGTATGCATGATTTGATGAACTGGTGACTTGATGAATTGTTTGTGATTCTTTGACTTATTTGATGAATTACATGTGAATTTCATGAATTTGATGTGTTATGTCAATTTGTTGTGTTGAATTGAACCTTTGAAGGGGTTTTTTTGCCAGGGCGTGCCTAGGCCGGCACGGGCACAATGGGCTAGCCGGGCCGTCGGGCCAGCCCGGCACGGCCCGAGGCTACTTGGGCCGTGCCTGGGCCGTGGTTGTAGCCCGTGGGCTGGCACGGCACGGCACGGCTTGTTCGTCGGGCCGTGCCGGCCCGACTGACCTCGGCCCAGGCCCGGCCGTGCCTGGGCCGTGCCGTGCCGGGCGGCCCATATGGCCAACTATAGCTCCAGAGGAGGAAGAGGCTGACGAGGAAGGTGCCACGGAGCTGGCCTTTGTAGTAGAGGATGAGGAAGAGGAGGTAGACGACATAGAGGGCCTGGTTCATCATGGACCTCGTCTGCTGGCTGCTGTCGTTGAAGCTGAACGCCGTCATGGTGTCGGCGGTGCCGAGGAGGAGGAGGAAGCAGGCCCAGACGACGAATAGCTCGTTCTGGATGGACGACTACTGCATCAACCCGATTGTGTAGGAGATCACCGGGTAGTTGAACATGAAGGCTCCCCAGACAAGGAGCCTAAGTAGGGCGCCGCCGTGGTGGCGCCGCCTCGAGTTGGATAGGACAAGGACGCTGACGAGGAGGTAGCCCACTGTCACTAGGACCTCGATCCTCGCCAGCTGCCCGGAGGAGCTGGAGGCGAACTGCTTCCCGGCCTGGGTCGCATTCCTCGCTGAAGCAACAATTTGATCCATGGTGGTGTAGAAGAAAGGAAGCAAGGTCAAATGGAGGAGATGAGAGAGGCTAATGATGGAGTGGTACAGAGCATTGGCGTCTTGGAGTAGGCAGTCTCTATATAATCGTCATGAATAAAACTGGACGCTCCGAGAAGACCGCATCGACCGCCTCACACCATCGTGGAGAAAGAAATGACTAGAGCCAAGTCAATATCTATATGCACATGGAGAGACGGTAGAGTCAAAACTCTCATCAAAATCAAATACGAATAAACTACATCGATTTACGCATGGCCAGCTTTATATGGTTGATTATTGCACGCAACTCGAAATTAATACCTCTCAAGCATGGTAAAATTTTTCATATGTATACACATGCGCATCCACCTAATAGGGAATTATTCTAACATTAATTTCTTTGTGGATCAAGGAGTTGAAGACGGTGCTGACATCTTGATACATAATTATGGAGTAAACTCTATTGTCAGTTCTTAAAATTGTATTGGGATGTCACTTTGATCCATAATGTTATGAATTACTCACCTAGATTTGTAATCTACGTTTAATGTATCACAGCATTCAAACATCTTTGACTAAGAATAACTACCTCTTGGTTGTTCGATCCCGGTGGCCGAAACTTCACATTTAGGCTTTCCAGGTAACCACCGTGACAACAAATTAAATTTGCATATAGTCCCTTATTACTAACATTGCCTGTATTTCGCTGGTGAGCGTGCCGATGGTGTATTGCAGGCTTGCAGCCAATATTAATAGTGGTCAGTCATTCCCAAAAAAAAAAAGAAAAAAAGAAAAAAAAGTGGTCAGTCCACATCTCAGGCTTCACCATTGGTGAGAGAAATCCCGTACGTCATTGGTGATGATCGGGACCTAATGTATGATGCTGCTTCCCGCGATCTGTGAGTGAGTACGAGCAATTCCAGGAGATGGAATTTTTAGAAAAATATACTGTATATTTTATAAATAGACCCTAGAAAATTTATTACACGTATGAACCCCTAACTCGGCGCCAAAGTGGAGTGTGCTGTAAAATTTCAGGAAGACTAACAATACAGTATATTCTAACTCATTTCCAATAATTTATTTTTATTTATCAAGACTTAACCTGGGAAGAGATTTTTGAAAACAAAAGGAAACTCAACAAATTAGGTGCACTGAATCATGATATATTGATTTGTGAAAGAACCTTCTCAAATCATCCAGTGAGCCAGGTATATGCATCAGAATCCTCCAATGAGCCAAGCATATGCATCTGATCTGCCCACAATTGTCATTATACTATATGATTAGCATTCCTCCATGCAAGCCAAGTTGCCAACGGAGAATCAAGGATCTAACAAGTTCCATCAGATCAGGGCCGGCCCTGCTTGTGCCCTTTTATCTTCCTCTTCTTCAAGTAGAATAGGCAATCCCGGGGCACCGCCACGATGTTGAAGCTTGTCTACTACATGGGCATGTGACAGCAGAGCCCAAATGATCGTTACAAACTCCCCGCCAGTGGCCATCCTCGTGGCGTGTGCGACCGCCCTATCCGACGGGGCGATGTACAACATCATGTTTGCCCAGAAGGCGGCAAGCACCTTCCACCGCTTCCCGGCATCCTCGATCCGCTCAACGAGGTACACGGCGATCCTTGCGCCCTCAGATAGGAACCGAACATTGTGCTCCGTGTGGTCCAAGCGCCCCAGATCCATCAGCTTATCATACTTGTCACTGGCGGACTCGCATTTGGCGAGGAAGTCGCAGGCATTCTGCAGTGTGCCACGGGCCATCGAAGTGCTCGTGTACGTGCTGTCCGGGACCAGCTCCGGCTGGAATGCCACCAGCAGTGGTGTCCATGCTAAGCCCATAGTCACATATGCTTGTGGCGATGTGCCATGTCAGTATGTACCGTGCAAGACATCACGATCGAGGTTCAAGTCGATAATGCCTGTCCGGTACATCCACATCCTCCCGTCGGTGATCTTGCCATCGCAGTTGTTGAGCTCACGGAGCACCACCGGCATCAAGCGGACGGAGCGAGTCATCAATGATGAATCAAGGGCCTGGGCCTCGAGAGAGAACCATGAGAGGAAGGTCTTGACCCAGTGAGGTTGGATGTTGTCGAGGATGAAGTATTGGCCGATGGTCCCCTTCCAGTACCTGGTGACAGTGAAATGGCACAACACCTTTAGCGGGACCTCCATTGCCATGACTCATTGCGTACATATCGGCACAACATCTTCACCTTGTGCCAGTCGGAGAAGATAAAGGCAAGGAATTGGTACGACTCGAGGAAGATGTACCAGACAATGACCAAGCGGGTGACAAGGAGGTCGAGATTAAAGCCATGGATAAGGATGTTGTTGGCAGCGTTGCTGCCAATGGGACCTGTATCGGAGAAGGTCTGGAGAGAAGAGGGTGAACAAGCTAGTCGCCAGGATCACGATGTACACAGCAAGGTCAGGAGCCAGGGTGTCCTTGATTGAGGGGTACCGAGCGTAAAAGAAGTCAAAGAGGAACCCAAGCTCAGCCTCGATCACCCGGAATGCCCTGCCGAGGTCTTCGTCATTGGCGAGGAGCCCCTTGACGACAAAGTCTCGGCACTTGTCGTACTGTAAAGGGAAGTTGATATGACCGACATGATCGGCTGCGAACCTTAACCTCACTTGTGGACACTTTTCGACGTCCACCGTCTCTGGAACCTTGTACGACACTTTTATGACCTCCCCATTGTCCACCTTCTCCACCTCCTCACCGTCGACGAGATAGATGTACTCCGAGGAGCCACCTTGAATGCCAGCGCTGTTGAGCGGCTCGTACTTCATGTACTCGTACACCACCTGGTTCTCCCTGATGAGCCCATGGGAGCGGTTCGTTCATAGGTACGCCTTGACCCTCAAGCCCAGCCGCACCACGCTCAAGCACCAGAGGAGGAAGAGGCTGACGAGGAAGGTGCCGCGGAGCTGGCCTTTGTAGTAGAGGATGAGGAAGAGGAGGTACACGACGTGGAGGGTCTGGTTCATCATGGACCTCGTCTGCTGGCTGCTGTCATTGAAGCTGAACGCCGTCATGGTGTCGGCGCTGCCGAGGAGGAGGAGGAGGAAGCAGGCCCAGACGACGAACAGTTCGTTCTGGATGGACGAGGACTGCATCAGGCCGATGGTGTAGGAGATCACCGGGTAGTTAAACAGGAAGGCTCCCCAGACGAGCAGCTTGTGTAGCGTGAGGCCGTCGAAACCATTCAATCAGTTTTTAAACGGATTGAAATCATTCAATGGTGTATTGTCATGAAACCATTTTTTACTAGGCTTTAGCGGGAGAAACCAAAGTTTGTTGTCATGAAACCATTTTTTGAAAAGAGAGGCTGGCCGCACGAAGATCTCTGCTCCCTCTGCCAACGGGAGGAAGAAAGCTGCTTGCATCTATTTGTAAAATGCGACTTCACTAGACGAGTATGGGCGCTGATGCAAGGATGGATTGGCATTGGCTTCTTGCCGCCGACGATCAACGACTCAAGCCTGGCAGAATGGTGGATGATGGCGAGAAAATATTTTCGGATGGGCTACAGGAACATCAATATGAATCTAACAATTACGTCAATATGAATCTTTTAAGAGAATCAATATAGACTTTATTATTTGCTAATGAAAAAGAAATGATATACACCTACGTACCACATGGGAAGGAGCTGACACCATCGTGATGAGCAAAAATAACAAAGACTAACAGCTAGCTAAGTCTTCTAAACTTCATTATTTGCTTAAGAAAATGAAGTGATATATATACACATCTAGGGGCGAGCTTCAATTTATTCGTGGATCAAGGCGCTGATCAATTGCTCCCTCCGTCCCTAAATATTTGACGTCATTGACTTTTTTAAATATGTTTGACTGTTAGTCTTATTCAAAAAATTTAAGAAATTATTAATTCTTTTCCTATCATTTGATTCATTGTTAAATATACTACTACTACTCAAGTTTTTGAATAATATTCACAAATGTTTTTGAATAAGACGAACAATCAAACATATTTAAAAAAGTCAATGGCGTCAAATATTTAGGAATGGAGGGAGTATTTGCTTACGGCCAAGGCCGGGATGTTATCTATTCCATTATCTAAAAAGTTTTGCTTACGGCAAGAAAACGATTGTGCTAATTGTTACAGGCTAACAAAATCCTTCAGCTTTCTCAACCATAGGAGGTATTCTTCGTTTTCCTTGTAGATCATGTACTCTTGCAAGAATTTTGCGGCCATGGGTGTGATCCCACGCAGCTCCAGGTACTTGTTCAACGCCTTTTGCAGACTTTCATCGAGGTCACTGCAGCAGACAGGGCAAAGCAAATTGCACATAAGAACTCGGCGATTAATAGTTAAGAATTAATTAGACTGCTCAATAATTTAGGTTTTGTTATCTTACTCGAAATCAGGACCCTCATCTGCGATCATTTCATTGTTGTCATCCTCTGGTGGCTGCATCAAGGACAAGGTGTCGATGACGATCTCTTCAGGATGGGCAGTGCAGGAGAATTCAAGGATCTGTCCATCTCCCTTTGAGATGGTGACGGTGAGAGGAATGCTGGATTTGGAGGGAACCTGAATCTCTTCGTACTCAGATTCATCGCTGGTCCATCTTTTCTCACATTTGACCTTGGCAGTGGCAGGCTCAGGTTCATCGTCACTCTCAAGGCTGTCCATGGAAACCTGAAGCTCAATCTTCTCACCATGGTAAGTTCTTGTGAGAGTAATTGCATTCGAGCCCTCTCCATAATTGATTTTAAAGAATTTAAAGATTTTAAAGGGGGAGTTATTAGGGATCTCCTTGGCCTGTATCAGTATGACAATGAAAATGAGGCCCTCAGTCAGACAGTCACAGCACATTGCTCTCAAGGAGAGCATGAAAATTGTTCAAAGCATTGAACTTATATATCATATATAATTGCGCAGAGTAATCAAACTGGCATGAATGTATAGTTCAGGAAAACAATCTGGTTATGCATAATCGCAGAGAAAGGTACAGGAACTAGATAGAATGATTAAAACTTACCAGCAGAGTTCTAAGCGGAGAAAAATTTCAAAATAAACGACTTTAGACATCAGCACTAATAGAACAAGAATACAGGAGACAAAAAAGTACTACAATTCATAAGGCACAATAGCAAGGCATATTGAATTCTTATGAGGAACGCACAAAACCTTACACAAGAATTAAACAAGGCACAACAACAATGATCAAGCACTAAAATAGTGCAGTAACTGCAAATAAATAACACCAAAATCTACTATAATCAAGAGAAGTTGAAGTTAATATGAGCATGAAAAAGTGGAATAGCAAATACTCCACATCATTGTACCAAATATTACCTCAATCTCAGCAAAGCAATTGCAATGCTGTAAACATGATTATGCTACCAATTACAGTATGAAAATTACTCCTTTTCTTTAAAAACAAAGTTAAATAACTAATCCCAATCCCTACTATAGCAACATAGAACATAACGCAAACAACATATGAAGTACCTAACGGCGACAGATTGCTTAAGTTTATTTCATGGTAATATATAATACGACTAAAATCAAAACAAACAAAGGGGATTCAATGATGTCAAAAGATAATTCTCTGATGATAGAGCAGAAGATCGAATAGCAGCATTTGATTTAGTGAGATTCAGGAGCTCGCGCGCGCACGCACCCGGTCTTGGTCGCCGTCGCTCTCCTCCTCGGCGTCGTTGATCGCGTTGTCGATGATCCTGACGAGCTCACTGTCGAAGGCGGGCTTCGTCAAGGGGGCCGACGACGAGAACGGCATCGAGCGGGGCTGCGGCCGCGCCGCCGCGGCGGCCAGCGGGCGGAGCAGGGGGAGGGTGGATGTGGCGGCGCGGCGAGCGGCGGCGAAGAGAGCCATGGCGACGGTGCAGCGGCGGATGACGAAGGTTTTAGTCAGGGTTTTGGGGGTTTACGAGCTGTGGAGAATTGGAGATGAGGACGACAATTTATGTTGTTTTAATATGGAAAAAAAAATGGAAAGGACCATTCTGTTATCAATCATGTTTGTTTGCTTCTTGGAGAAGAAGAAAAAAAAATCGATTATCTACCAAATATCGTTATCCGTTAATTAAATTCAATCAAGAATTGTTGTCCATTAGTATAGATAGTTAATAAATTCAATTGTTCTTTTACGGATTTTCTCTTTACCCCCTTGCTTTGCTCATTATCTAATCATCATTGTCATTATCAGACTATATTACTACCTCTATTCACATGTTTAAGCATTCCTAGTAGCGGTTTAAGTTTTGAACAGACATCCATCGAGTAATTTCTTTTCACATAGAATATCATTTCAGCCATCACAATTCACAATTCCACACAAAATTCAGATAAGCAGCACCAAGAAACGGTAAAAGGCTAGTAAAATAAGCACTGATATCATAAGTGCCAATAGCCTCAGATTGACTACTGGGCATCAGAAATCGCACATTGCAGGGAAGGCAGTTTCCCCGGTTGTTGCATTGCTTCGCATAATTCTAGTAATCCTTGTTACATATGCAGGTATGCTAAAAGGCTAAGCTACCAAAAATCCTGCCAAATTGCTCGGCAATTTCTCATTGCCGGACGAAGTCCTTCAGCTTGGTCATCCACCCGACGTACTCCTTGGTTTGCTTGGTCACCATGTAATCGTGCATGTAGTTGGTGGTCGGCAGAGTGATCCCTCTTTGCTCCAGGTACTTGAATAGGCCCTTCTGCACATTCACCGGTAGCTCGCTGTAGTAGAAAGAAGCGATTCGATGAGGATTATGAGTAGAGATGGTGCTCAAGAAGGATTGAGAAATGGAGATTGAAACCGGTGTTCTTACGTGAATTCAGGGCCCTCGTAAGGGAATTTCTCATCTCCTTCTGTGGCTGCATTCTCCACTATTAACATGTCGTCGATGGTGATCTCCTCACGAAAGGCTGTGCAGGTGAACTCAAGTTTGGGCCCAGAGCCCTTGGAGACTGTCACCTTTAGAGACACGCTGCTATCTCCAGCGCTCTCGTCTTCCTCTTCATCTTCATCATCCTTGCTAGCATTCTTGCCCTCACCCTCGGCTTCTTCGTCGTCAAACTCAGGGCCCCCTTCTAAATTTGGCATGCTGACAATGACCTCAATCTTCTCATCTTTGTAGTCCCTTTTCAGAATAACCACACTCATCCCTTCTTCGTCAAGGATTTCAAAAGGGAAGTTTTCCGGAACAGGTTCCTGTTGCAAGAAAGATAAATGGGTAAGATGAAACACCTTTGGAATATTCAATAACAGATGTTAAATGCCTTGATGTCAAACCAGCATGTCAATTTTACAGCTAGATGTCACACCTGCAGAGGTAATTTTACAGCTTTGATGTCCATTCATTCATTCACTTTTCAGGGTTATGCGGAAAGGATTATTCAACCTCAATGCCAGTTCTAATATTGCCCTTGCCTGGAGCTTCCAATTGATCAAAATATTGAACCCAAACCATCACAAACTCTATCATCAGTCCCACTATTTGTCTATTCCAAAGTCATACCGCTTTAAAAGAATCATTAGAATGGTTCAATGATTTGAAACAAGGAAAACGCTTAAGAAACGATTTGCTTACACAAGGGTATAAGACTTCTCTCCAGACATTCAGGTCAAACATGACAAAATAGATGCAAGAAAGTTATAGGATCCTTGAAAACCAGATGAGCATTGCATAGCTGACGCAGGGAATAAATCTAAAGTCTTAACAACTCTCTGAATGCCAGTTGCAATAAACAATTGCCAATAAACTATCACTTAAAGAATTCAGACACCTAGACTAATGGCTTAAGATAAAATAAATAAATAGAAGATATCGATGCATGAGTAAGATGAACAAATTCTCTATTCTCTAACTGCCACCAGCATACCGAAGTAACAATACGTCATCAGTCACCAATTGATCTGTATTAAGAGAGAAGCGCCGAACGAGACTGCAAAAGTAATCTATTTTAGGTGAAAGCAATCGTAAATATATTTCCCAATTGTAGTGTTCAATTAGCTAGAGATGCCCATTATTTATCAACCAGTTACCAGTCGACGTGTAGCATTCACGCAAGACAGCACTATAATTTGACAAAACCTCACCAAAAATTCATCATCCCCACAAGACAAAATCACTGTCCAATATGACAAAATAATATCTCATTTGGCGCGCCAAATCAGTCAAGTTTCGATGACAGTAGTACAGTATCGCGCAAGAGAAGAGCGCGCGTCTCACTCTCACCTGCTCGTCGATGGCGAGGTAGTCCTGCGCCTCCCTGATCTCCGCGTCGATGGCTCCGGGGAGGTTCCCGGCGCCGGACCCCTTCTTCTTCTTCGCCTTGACCTTGCTCTCCATCACCACCTGCCCCGAAGAGGCGCTCGACCCCTGCGCCGCCGCGCGCAGGGAACCCGCGAGCGGCTGCCGTTGCAGCGAGAGCAAGGGTGTTCCTGCGCGGGACGCGGACGAGACGCCGGGGAGGAAGGCGGCGGCGGCGGTGGCGGCGGCGGCGGCGGAGACGAAGGCCATGGCGAACGCGGTGGCGAAGCGAAGGAGAGAAGAGAGGAGAGGGGAGGGGATAAGAAAAGGGAAGAGGGGTTTTGGATGACGCTTATACCTACCGTTTAGTGGGACCCATCTGTCGCTGACACTACTTGCCTCCTGTCCTCTTTCAACGATTTCGTTTTTACAAAAAATCAACAGAACTTGCGTATGGGTTTCTTGTGCTTGTGAAATTAATTCTCCTTCTCCAAATGGTCTAGCACTATGATTTGATACAACATCTGAAGCTGTGTTTGGCTCTTGTAGTTGGATAATCCCTCGTGCATCATTAATTAATTATTAGGTTTTTTTTTAAAAAAAAAGTATATAAAATAACTTTCTTATATAATTTTTTCGTGAAAATATATCGTTTACCAGTTTTAGAAGCGTGCACATAGAAAACGAGATAAAAAAGCTAGGAAAATAGATTTTTTTTTAAAAAAAAAAGAAAATAGAGAGAAGAAAACAACATTTAGTGTAGTGCCTGGATCGATTTTCATCAAAGAAAGGAACAGTCAAGCGCTGCATGACAATTAAAGGATCATCATTGGGCATCAACAAGAACATTTAATTTACAAGACTTTGCTGTGCTACACATTGGAAGCAAGTGCTTAGATTACATATAGTAGTAAATAGTATTATGCATGTTTAATTACTGTTTCTGATTCTGATTGAGAGCCTGCAATTTGGCAGGAACAAGATCGAGCTACTATACAAACGGCAGAGACAGAGACAGAGACAGGGGCCCCCATTTGCAAGGCCTTTCCTGTCAATTCATCCTGCCTTTATTATTATCGATTGATAATTCCAAGATAAGAAGGAGAAAAAGAAGAAGAATTAAAAACGCGGGAATTATTACTGTAATTAATAATCCTCCAAGAGAAGAGACGACCATGACATGACATCACAGGAGCTGGGCGTCGCGGCTGGCCGGAGAAGGGAAGACGGGCACCTCGGCGAAGCGGAGGCGGCCGGAGTCGGCCGCGCCGCCGGCGAGGCGGACGTAGTAGGGCGCCCGCGGCGACGCCGACGGCGACTCGTTGGTGAACGGGTTGCCGATCGGCGTCTGCCCGCCGTTGGCGTAGTGGACGATCGCCCTGTACAAGAACGGCAGCAACCCCTCCATGGCTTCTTCTTCTTCTTCTTCTTCTTCTTCTTCTTCTTCTTCTTCTTCTTGCCAAGCAAAAACAATGGAGCTAAGCAAAGCAAGAACCCTCTCTACCTCTGTCTCTGTTTGGTGGTGCAACTGCAAAGGATAAAGAGGAAGAAAGAGAGGCGTGTGGGTATTTAAGGGCACAACTGCAGATTAGTATAATAAGGTGAGCCTTGAGATTTTTTTTTTGACTAAACTAATCAATGCTGATTAGTGGATAACAACTGGCTTAGCTTTGCTCAGCTAAGCTACTAGCTAGCTAGCACAAGGAAATGGTCAAATGAGAGAGCCACATCAATTGGAGAAGATGATGATGGGATGCATGCACGCATGCCTGTGGACTTGTGGATAGGAAAATGGATTTTTTGTAAGCAGAACAAAGATGCTGTTTACACTTCAGGGGGACACACAAGGTGCATTAGTTTTTTGTGATGAAACAGCTATTGGAATTTAAGGTGTCACACAGGAACAAATCAGGGGGCAATTGGGTTTTGTGGTGACTGCTGGTTTCTGATTGGAATTAGGTTTAAAATAGGACAGCTTCTGCTGATTCTGGTCTGGGTGTTAGGGGAGGGAGACCAATCCTATATAATCATATAAAGAATATCAATGGCTTTGTGCTTGAAGGAAGGGAAAGCCACAAAAAAAAAGGGAAAAAATGATGCACAGATGTGGTTTGAAGACAAGGGACATCTTACCTGACCTCAAAAGGGTATATTGTAATGGAGTTTGTTGTGTTTTCCCTCTTCTTTTTCTGTGTTTGTTAGTGAAGCTTGCAATTGAGGCCTCAACTAACCCTATAATTAAGACAAAAAAGATAAAAGGCTAAATCCGAAGTCTGGTGAACCATCGTTCTCAGGTATCCCAATAGAAAGAATTGGGTCGACTTTAAGCATCATCCAAGTCGTGAGAATGACACCCTACTAGGTCAGAGTAGCAGACAAAGGGTAGATATATATTTTTTCTCTCTCTCTTGAACTGAGTACATTACAAACTGCTCACGGAACTGCAGCTGGTTCACCAGGAATAACTGTAACACCAAGAAGAATAACAGGGTACAACAGTGTGAAGTTCTTACATATATATCCTCAGGGCTTCAATTTGCACCTCTTGGTAACACATAATTTAACTTTCCAGGAAGAATTTTCTAGCAGCATGTGGCAAATCTCTCTACATAAGCTACCTATGCTCAAGGCTGGCTGGCTCTTAATGTGACAATTCCTCCGTGTAAAAGAAGCGCAAGTCAACGGGGGTAAACAGGATATTGCTTACAAAACCGGCGAGGCAACGATCCAGGTTTCATGGATACACATCACCTAGATCAGAACACGCCTACGAGCTAAGATGGAAGATTTGACAGTCTGGTTTGTATTTGTTCTTGGAAGCAGCCTGCTCAAACTTCTTCAATGGCCCTTCATTCTCTCTCAAGCCAGTCTGGATAAAGTATCGCGACCACCACGAAGAACTCCGCAACTTTGCCTGTGAAAAAAAACAGTCCATGTCACCAAACTTCTAGCCTTCGATATAGCTCAATTATTTATATTGTGTTCTAGAAAATACTAATGCATGCATAACATCAAACAAATCAACGGTTATTCCATTCCTCTCCAAACAAGTAACCATCAATAGCATTAATGGACAGCCTAACAGACTAAGCAATACTAGTCAATAGGCAACAGCATATTTGTAACTGCCAACATACAGAATGCAATTGAAATTATATTCCATGATGTGATATACTCATATACTACTGTATAATGAAAAGAACACCATACATGCAACATCGCTACAACATCAATAAAATGCTAAGCATGAATATCCAGAACATCGGTAACCTATTAAAAGCATAAAACCATTCTACAACTTTTATAAGCTGCCTTTCTGGATCATGGACATGGAATGCGTCAAATCAATCCTTTTGTGTCAGTACGGTACTGGTCTTAGAGGTCATATGACAAATTAATTTGCATGTAGCTATTAGAGGTCATCCATACGTACCGGTCTTCCGAATTTTGGTAGTTCAGAAACCTTAGCCTTCTGTTGACCTGGATTGCCTGAAATTAGTGTATCAAAAATAAATAGTTCAAATTTTCTATAGCTTCCACCATTACAAATAGTGTATATATACTCCACAGAAATGTTAAGAAACAAGCACTTTAAAAGGTCCAAAAGTCAAACCATACTAGTACTAGAATAAATGTTACAGTATTGTTTTACCATTCTCATTTAGTTAAAAGAATATAAATATCATTAGTATGGGGCTATGGGCTTATTAGGATGCATCCAATTAAAGAGCACTAGAAATACCAATGATGATTGCACAACCAAACATCAAATAAACGAAGCTTCATTTTAAATGTAAGATCTAGGGAAAATGAACAATCAGTATGCTATCACTTCAGGTCTGACCAAACTACCATGACATTTAAAACGAGGGGAATCATCATGTACATCTACAAATATAGCCGTTTATGTGTCAACTATGATCATCAACAAGTATGCGATTAACTCAAAGAAATACATACCGGCAAAGATAACAAGACCATCTGTAGAAATCCTTGCTAAATCTGGAAGTGTTTTGTTCAGATATCTTGGGGTCAAATAATCCAAAGCATCTGATACGATAACAAGGTTAAAGGAATCTTGGCGGTATGGAAGAGGGAACTTGATATCAGCCATACGAACAAAGCCCTTGCGCACAAGGCTTTTGCAGCTACTATCAGTATCCTCCAAATCATAAGGCTCCACTCCCCATGCTTCAACCTTCCCTTCCTTCAACAAGTTAGAAACTACTGTACAACTATCAGGGCCAACATGGAGAACCTTATGCAACTCATTGCCATATGCCTTTTTAAGATAAGGAAGTGCTTGCATGACTTCTGGTGTACAAGAACCTGAATGCAAATGCAAAGGAAAGGTTGAGATAATGAGAAGCACAAAACTTTTCCCAATAACACGTGTGAAAAGGAATACAATGGAGATTCCTAAAAAAATCAATTACTAAACCCTCCCAGAGAGGGTCTTATAAGTTATAACTATCATGTTCCAATATATTTTATCAAAATTTAGAGGGTTATCTATTAGTATCATGAAGCTTAGGATAATACAGTAAACTGCGTTGCTGTTTGTACCACACATCAGACACTCAGACAGCCAAATTACATTGGTATGACAGTGTCAAAATTCAGCAGGGGAAAAAATAATTATCACATGGTCCATGTTGATCATGTCATACCAGTTGAATTCTTTATATACTGTTCATGGCCTAATGAAGAATAACACCGAAGGCATCAACAAAGAAAAAAAAAGACAGAAACATTCATGGAGAATAAAAAACCAAATGCAGTATCTCCAGAATGCTTATATGAAGGATTGCACAACACCTATTTCTTACTGCAGCGAGTATCAGAAGAAATTGAAGAGATAAATCAACAATGCATTAAGAGAGGTTAAAAGATGACAGCAGCATATGATTTGGCACACAAAGAATAATATACCTTCAGACCTGCTCACAGCTTCTCTGCTAGTAACTGTTACACCTGGCCATTGGAGAAAAATGACAATTAGAAGTATGAGCTGGTCCACGATATTTGGCACTCGAGTATGAGCTGGTCCACTTTGCTATCTCTAGGAGCAGGACAATTCAACGTTAAAAAATCACAAAATATATTCATACTACAGGGCAATCTCAGTTAACAATTGAATATCCCAAGTTGATTTTGTTTTGATATTTCAGAAAATCATGACAGCAACAATGCAGTACCAATAAGAAAATGCAGGTACAATGCTGCAGCAATGTCACTGTGCACTAATTGTGACAGCAACAATCAGTGATGGCATCTAGCACGCCCACCCCTACCTCCAAATCTATTATTTAAGTTGCTACTACCTTTCTTTAATAGAAAGCAGAGAATCAACAGAATAAGGGAACAGAGTGAATTAGTATGAGTTACTCTCACTACGGTTTTTTCACCATTTTGCAATACAAGCTAAACGGAACAAAAATAAACAGGTGAAGAAGAATATTCAAGTGGAGTTCAAGCTGACCTGAGCCGCTATTGAAGTAGGCGATCAGAATAATGACACCCTGAAACCCCCAAAAAAAAAAACAAGCACACTTCTGTCAGCTGAGCACATGAGAAATCCTAACAACTAAATTGACAAAAAGAAAGATGGAAAACTACCAGGACCACGAGGGCGATGGTGAGCACGGGCGGCGAGCGTGACTTGGGGTGAAGCAGGCCACCGACAGACGGCAATCCCCCATCCGCCACCCGCCGGCTCGGATTCACCGACCTCCTCGACATCCACTCCGAGCCCTCTCCAATCCAAGCCGCCCAACCTCTCCCCCCACCCCCGCTCGATCGATCACCTGCTCGCACCCAACAATATCATCATCCCGTCATCACAAACAAATGCCCACACAAAATCACACCCCCAGCACGGGCGGAATCCAGATCCCCCTACAGCCCACAGATCGGAACACCCCCCCCCCCAACGCAGCAGCAGAAGCAGAAGCAGCAGCAGCAGCAATACCTCCGATGGAAGTGGCGGACGCGGCGGGCGGCGGAGGAGGAGGGGGAACCCCCGAGAGCGGGGCTAGGGTTCGGGGAGGAGAGGGGATTCGCGGGGGGCGGCGGCGCGGATCTGAGGCGAGTGAAGCAAGCAGCGGCGGCGAGGTGGGTGGCGATCCGACGCGATAGGGACGGGAGGAGTGAATGATACGGTGGCACGGGATTTTATACGGCCGCGTGCAATGCAAGGGTGGTGGTGGGATTAGCACGCCATTAGCGAGGGATTTAGTGGAGCACAACCCGAATTCCGAGACGGGGAGATGGGGGAATTTGGGGGATGTCGGTCGCCGTCGCCTGCTTTCACTGACAGGTGGGGTCTACCTACCGGTCTTTTGGTTTTCCTTTTCTTTTCTTTGCTTCGCTGGCCGTCGGCCTGGCCCGGTGGGTTCCGGCCCAACCCACTGGGCTGAAAGTACTTACTACTAGTACATGTTATTACTAGTCAATGGTCAAATAGGTCTGGAAAATTGTCAATGGTCAACACAGGAAATTTGGTAGCTATATCTGAAATTTTAGTGTACCTAACACTAACGAATGCTCCATCGTGCAACTCTCTGGATTATTATGCCAACTGATTAGCACCCAGTATTTCCATTTCATTCCTGCCCAGGAAACCAAATGGTCAAACTCGTGTCACGGATTCGCATTACATTTGACCATTTAGTCAACATCATTTCTATCTCTTAGAGCAGGTACAATAGCAGGCTATAAGAGCACCCGCAATAGTAAAGTAAGGTGCTATCTATAAAATATGTACATCTCAGCAATAGACTAGATTAATAGTAAACCATTTCAATAGTATATCTACATGGGTATCTATAGCTCTCTAATCCATTGCCTCGTTTTTCTCTATAGACTATCTCCATGTTAGTAGATAGCTTTGCTCTCTCGCTTCATTTAATCTCTTCCAAGTAGAAAAATATGCTGACATGGATCTTTTGTAGAGAGCTTATAGATAACTATTGTGGGTGCCCTAAGCCAGCTGCAAACATATTTTAAGTAGATAAATGTAGAGAGAGAAGGGTAGCAGGCTACAGATTTGTAGCCAGCTGCAGCACGGACTCCAAGACACAGTGTGAGTATGACAGGTGAGACCAAGTATTAATAGTGTAGTATGTAACTATTGTATGAATGAGCTATTATATTGACTATAGATGAATTGGAGATAGTAGTTGGCTATATTATTGAACTTGCTCTTAAGCATTTGCACATTTATTCATGTCATGTGATCGTGTACTACTCCTCTCTGCACTTGGGGAAAAAAGAGAGAACATGGCGGCAATATACTAGTAGTAGTGATACTATTCAGCAACTAATTTAATCAGCACCCTCAACTCTACTGGATCTCTTCCTCTGTCTCTCTATTGTTCATCATTTGCAGAAAAGAGTCTCCTTCGTGGCGTTTCCAGTGGTTGTATTGACCCTGATGCAAAAAGTTAATTGTAGCTAGAGTGAGCTCAATGTAATGTACATACAGGGAGACACAAAATAAGTGCAATGGACAGCCATTGGTGTGTGCATGATTGCAACATTGGTTACTTACCCATCAGCAATTTTGCAGAGGTATTCACGCTGATCGTCTCGCAGTGGAACATCTGTAAAATCTGGAAGGCCAAAAAAAAAGAGAGAGAGAAACTTAGATGTTTGATGATCCCATCAAACAATAGTCAATTCAGTCTAATGCAATTTTGGTCAGCCTCTGACAAAATCAAAACTCTGTTGAAGCATTTTGTAGATGAGTAAGAGGTTGGTTAGAGATTGAAAAAATAATAATTGATCATATTAATATGTCAACAATCCGATAGTTTGCAGATAAAAGGAGTCATTTAGTTTGGCATGGCCATCAGAGAGACAGGACCAGTAACTTGCCTGCTCCATATATGTTGGAACCTTTGAACGTCGTGTTTCCTGTGGCAAGTGCCCCTTCCAAGTTGGCATTTGTCAGATTTACCTGTGAAATGATTCAAGAGACACACCATCACTCGATTGTCAGTTTGTCACTAGGTTATGCAAGCTAGTAACAAACTATTTGTGCTGCAAACCTGTGAAATCCATGCTTGACAAACTGGTAGTAACTTAATCAGAAAGTGGTCAATGACTTTCTGAAGAAAGTGAGGACTTATGTAATGACCAATTATATTATGTAACGCAAGCTTGTTCAATATTGCTATGATGCCAATGCCAAATTGCTATCAATTTATTACTGGTCTAATCAGTAAAAAGGAAAAAACAATCCAGGCTTTCTGAACAATGCAATGGTCAATGTGGAATGTAGTAGCATTTCAATTAGCTTGCTATCGCTAATGCTTTTCTTTGAGCAATATGCAGTACTACCTTCGATACATTTGCCAGTGAGAAATCTGCACCTCTAAGATCAGCATCAGAGAGATCAGCACCTGAATTTATCACCAGAAAACTCTGAATAATCAATGCAACTAGAACCAAAACATCAGTTTTGCCATTTCAGAACTTCACATTGGGGAAGAATCACTACAACTACTGTGATAAATGGAACATCTAACAAATTCACAAGCACAGCATCAGAACCTGTCAGATCTGCATCAAAGAAGCTCGCGCCGAGCAGCTTCGCGCCTTTGAAGTTCGCCTGCCTCAGTATAGACTGCAACAAAAACATACCAAGAAAACAGCATAAGCTTTGCAATTGCATTTGCTGACAATTCAGATACTCTTCTGGACATAGAATTCAGTAATTCACCCACAAGAACAGTTACAATTTATCTACAGAAATATGATCATATCCGAGTTCAAGAACTGAAACAGAAAGGCAATGGGAACAATCAAAGAGAGTACCGTCTTGAAGTCCTGCCTGATGAGCGTCTGGCCACTGAAGTCCTTGCCGGTGAGGTCCTGCCCCCGTGTCACCTGCTGCCCGTACGGGCCTCCTCCCTTGAATGCCAGGGCCGGGTCGGCGACGAGGAGCGAGGCCGCGACGAGCGCGGCGGCGCCGGCGTTGGCGAGGTGGAAATGCAGGGAGGAGGAGGCGGAGGAGCGCACCGGCGTGGCGGAGGGTGGGGATGGCGTGAGCTTCAGACTGCCCAGGATGGTGGGGATGGCCATGATCGATCGTCGTCGATTCTTGATGCTCTCCGACTCCGGTGGTCGTCGGAGTTGGTTTCTTTGTGTTTCTTCTTTAGCGACGGTGTGTTTATCCGTCTTATCTGTTCGTGGGTTGCTTGCTCAGTCGACCAATCGTTGATCGCCACGTCGGCTGTTCTTTCCTAGTATAAAGGAGGAGAAAATAAAAGGAATTTTTCCAGCCATTCTGATATGATTCAGGTTTTATTTTTTTATTAAAAAATGGAAATGGTTCACTTTCTTGCTACTACAAGTTTCAATATAATTATTTTGCGGAGAAATATGTTTTATTTGATATATCTTAGTGTTTGTATGTTCAGAGTTACTCCCTCTGTCCCATAAAATACCAATTTAGCACTGGATGTAACGTATAATTTTTTTTAGACGAAGGGAGTCGGTGAAAAAGTGTGTGCTACCATCATAAGAACTACGAGTACCAGATTTCCTAAACTATTGAACACGTTTTAAATTCACCACTCAAATTTACCTTGGGTTTTTAAGCAAAAAAAAAAACTTTACTGCCACTACCGTGATACTTCCTGCATCCCAAAATATACATATTTCTAGCACAGTACATTATTTCAAAATGAAACTATTTCTTCACATACGTTCTCCTCTCAACCAATCATCACTATTCTCCTTTACCTACTTTTACTTATCAACCAATCACACATTTCCTCCGATTATTCTCACCTATTTTTTATTAATAACCGTACCAACCTAAAAAAAATGTCTACATTTTGGGATAAGGGAAACAATTTGGCAAAAAGATCTATGAGCACTCATCTGTAAAAATAAATAATTCATTAGGGTGTAATTTGTAAATTGTCTTGAGTCTTTACGAACAAATCCCTATCCTGCATACCGCCATCGTCTCTTTCTCGTCGTCGCCGGCGACGCCTCCCGCCGCCGCCGAGGATGCCAGTGAGGGTGGTCGACACCGCAACCCCATCCTCCCAGCCCACCTCAGGTTCGTCCACCTCCTTCCCCACTACCTTCTCTATGCTATGCACCCACCCCTAATTTTGCTGTGTAATCCAAGCTTTAGATCTGATCATCTGATAGAGTCTAATCAGGTATCAGGTAGCTTGTGGGGTTTGATATAGTGCGATTTTAAGGTTTAATCTAGATTGGTCTGAGTTGTACTGAGGGTATCTGTGTTGATCCTTTTGGAATATACTCAATTTTTTATAATTTTGGCCACTCACGCTATGCGTTATTTGGGGAGAGCTCGGATGGTTTTGTAGCTAAGCTGACAACTAATTGTAATGTATTGTATATTTTTGAGGCGTTGCTATGCTTGTGGCTTTGTGTCAAGTGTTCTTCTGTTTCAGGAGGCCTTCTATATAAACCAATTGTTGATTTTGTTCACCTGCAATTGAAATTTCATTAGTTATTTTGTATGTATTTCTGGAAATAGATAGCCCGCCGTGCCAATGTGCCATACTGATTAAAATGCTGCAGGTCAAGATGCAAATGCTGGGCATCCGTCTCCTCCTAGCTGTTCCCTCTTAAGTGCTGGAAGAGTAAGTCTTTTTGTGCTGTTATTTGGAACTTGACCAAGGATCGAATCTTCTTATCGGTGTTGTTTATGGAACTGACCAGACCATATGCTTGTACCATTCTTTCAGTGTTATGCTGGAACCCAGAATGTCTCTACTATACAAAAAGAAGAAGCTTGGAAAGTTAATGTGCGGATCAATGACTGTGATCTTGAACAGGGTTATTTATGTGGAACAATGGAAGCAGTTAATGTTCCCTTAGCTGATACCCCTGTGAGCTACTACTTCCTTTTCCACTTTGACTCTGATCTTTATGTTCCAAATTGTTCATTCGTATACTAATTTAGTAGGCAAACAGTTTGTTCCGATAAAATGTAAAATAATGCTATGTTTTACTTCTTGTTACCATTATCTGATTTGCGTAGCAATTTGTAAATAATTTCCATAGGTGGTAACATTCTGGGAGGGGGAGATAGTGGATGCTAAAAATTATACATTTTTCACTGGCAAGTGGGAGGCATCGTGAGTAGTTAACTATTTATGTTTTATCCTTGATACTATCATCTACTTGTTTTATTAATTGATGCCCTAGTTTAGGGTAACAGTCCAAACTTACTCATCAAACATTATTCCTGCTTATGCTTTTGCAGCCCAGAGGATGATATTAGACACTGGTCCAAGTTCCCATCATTTACACCTCTTCTGGTATTCTGTTGCCTATCTTCGTGTTGTTAGTTGCCACGATTTGTTAGGATACATTTCTCACTTATGTTTCTCCACAGAGTCAGATAGAGACAGATGGTGGCAAGTCTGTGGACTTCAGCAACTATGCTTACATATTCATGGTACTGCACCATCTGACCTTTCATGTATGTGCCCCATTTATTGAAATACAAAGTCATAACAACTTAGCATTATTCTGATGCTACATGTAGAGATGGAAAGAGCAGTACTTTGTCAATGTTGGAGTGGACTGTGGGTTGACCATAGCTGGTTTCTACTATGTCTGCTTTTCATGTAGCGATGGTTCCATTAGCGGGTATTATTATGATCCAAACAGCAGGTAATGTATATTTCGCTGGCACTTTTTATTGCGATGTAACAACTAAATTCTATTGAGGAATTGAAGTGATATAAATATTTCCTGCTCTCTCAATTTACAGTCCGTTTCAGAAGCTTGAACTGAAGTGTACCAATGAGAAAGATTCTGGATTTACCTTTTCATCCTACGAGCTGCAGTGAGAGACTGACAGGCCTGTTGTCATTATAGTATTTGCGGATGTTAATATACACAATGTGTGTACTGAACTCATAATTTTGAATGGCGTCCCATTAAAAGAGCTGAGATGGCATGTTTGTAACAGTGATTTTGAGCAAGATGTATTTTATTCTCTTTGTAATATGATTATAAGCTGGTAAAATTTCTAATTTGAACCTACCTGTGTGTTCTTTTTGTGCTAATCACGGCATGGTTATGTCCAGAATAAATAAGACAAGAATGTGAGGGCTAGTTGCTCGTTCAAAGAAATATATATACTTCTTTCCAGAGTAATTGTAGTTCTGCAGTTGGAGGATTTTTGTTTTCTTTCAATATTTCTGTACTGCCTACATTGTGGAATTTGTGGTCACTGATTGTGAATCTAATATCTGATACTGAGCTTTATCTGAAGAGACACTTAAGATTGAAATCTTGTACATTAGTTTCTGGTACACAGCCACAGAAACCTCCTTTTGGTTTCACATGCAGCCATTGTAAGGTATGATGTAATTCTATGAACAAAGTATACTTGGGCCGAACACTCTGTCTTCGCCTCCGGTCTTCGGACATTGTAAGGTAAACATCTCTCTACTTATCTTGTTTCATAGAGTCTTGATCTCATGCTTCAAGCCGTAGTCAATTCTCTAATGAGTAAAATTCTTCTGCATCTGCATTGCACAGGCTTCAAGTTATTGCTAAACCCTATAATAATATTCTGCAGATAGGACTACCCTTGCACACCTGGTGAAGCTTACCTTCATACACACAAGGATGGGTGGACAGTGGAACAGGAGGTAACTCTTCTCTCCTTTCTGGCAGAAACCAAGAATACACTTCCTTTGCCCTCTGTACCAAAGGCCTCTCAACATTCTCACACCAGGCGTCAAACATATCGAGGACAGCCTCAGTAATGACTTCTGAGAGTACTTTATCACCTTCTCCAGGTGCCAGCTTCAGCATCATGTATCTCTTGAACGATACGATCTTCTCTAACATTTGCCTTCTGTCAATATTATATGATGACATCGCGCCTTGGATTATAGAGACCATCCTGAGGACTGCCTCACAGACTATAGCATATGCATGACTGAATATCTCGGTTGCTGTTTCTGACAGTTCTTTGCTGTGCCAATCATTTTTTACAGGTTCTGGCCCCTGTTCTAAGATTGGCGCAAATGTTACAGTCTTCGGTTTGGTTGTGTTGACACGGAGCTGCTTTGATTCCCTCAGCATTTCATTGGCTTCCTTCATTTCTGACTCAAACCTGCTGCTGACCTTGAAGTATGGTTGCTCCTTGTGTGCAGTTGGGCTCGGGAGTGGGGAATTCTGCCTTGATGATGCTTCCAAGAAAACCTCAGGTGCACATGCTGATTCACACGCTACGATTTACATGGAAAACACAAGTATTACTCTTCATCATAACAAAATTATACTATAATTGATATCTTGACTGAATTTAACTGGAGATTGTCCAATGCATGCAATATTCTGAAGTCTGGCAGACATACAGGAATGGGGATGTCGAGCTGTGCTTGGGGATCCGTAGTCTGCATCGTTGTGCTCCTTGCTGTCGTCTGCACTGGGTCCTGCTCGGGGGGTCCACATCATGTCTTCTTGCGGCTTCTTCTTGTGATGCAGCAGGTGCATCCATTTCTTAGCCTTGCTCTTCACCTTGCCGAGAACTGGCTTCTTCTGGCTCCCATTTGGGGTCCGCGGCGATCCCATCGGACTCACCGGCGGTGCCCGTGGCGAAGGCCAGTATCGTTGTTGCTCCTCCCATTCATCGACTGGATTTTGGCCTGCAATATTCAGAGACGCTGAGGGAAATGTCAATCAGGCATGATCATTTCTTTATTTCTAGGCAGGTGAGGCACTAACATCCCTGTATCATTACTTCCAGAAGAATAATTTGGAACACATTGATCAAGCTATACATTTTCCAAGATCGAAATGTCATGAGAAATTATGAAACATGCAGGAATGGTGAAATTTGAGATGAGAAGAAAAGAACCAAGACCGACAAATCTATTACCATTTTGGACGGGGTGATCACCTCGTTTGGTGCTGATCCCGCGCTTCAATTTTCTGATTTCATTCATGATTTGTGCAAGAATGGAACCAAATCCTAGAGCTTTGGGAGGAGCTGATCAGGCAAGAAATGGACTCTATCCTAAAGTTGGCAACCCTGAGGGAACCAATTTCTGAGTTATAGTGGTGACAAGGGCTAAATTCTGGTGGAGCGGTTAAGTTGCCAACCTATTCTAGGGGGTGTTTGGTGGTTGGAGGGTGGCCATGCTTTTCTTGGAGCCATCCCAGATCATAAACGAGGTTCATATGTTTTTGCCACGAGCAGCTGAAAAATGTAAGGACATACATCATGCATGTGCGGGATGTTTTGAACTGAGCAGGTTTAGGGATATTTTGATCAAATGTAATGTTATTTTTGTAGACCGAAAAAAAAAAAAGCGATCCTAGGCTTCCTAGCGCTAGATAAAGATACAGAAGGTTCGAGTTTCATGAGGCTGAAGACCCAGATTATGGAAAATTCGAGTAAAAAAAAACAGAAGGTTCGAGTTTCATGAAATTTGAGTTGCAGAGAGAAGGATGAAGACCGAAAATTCGAGTTTTTAGGGAAGTTTCATGAAATTTGAGTTGCAGAGAGAGGGATGAAGACCGAAAATTCAATTTTTTTACCCAAAAAACAAAAAAAAATTTCTTGTCAAGAATGGGATTCGAACCCATGCCCTTTCGGACCAGTACCTGAAACTGGCGCCTTAGACCAACTCGGCCATCTTGACAGTTTCGATATGGTTTTATTGACAATTTATAATAATGTGTGTAGAATTCTTCGCGACGGTAAATTATACAGGACAATAAAACGCTGACTATATAACGTAACCGAAACCAAAATTCTTGACGAAACTCAAGACCCTCTCTGTATAATATGCAAGCTACCATTGTCTTACATTAAAAGGTTCTAAAGCTAACAGGCCAATATACATAATAAAACCATAAATGCCACAGTAAAATTACGCCGAACACCGAGTTGCTTCAAAAATGGTTACTGCTATTGCCTGTCAATAAATTGACTTGTGTTCTTTGTTCATAAATATGTAACAACATTGGGTGTCAGCATATCCATGTTAGCCCATGCTGCCAAAGATACTACAAGGAGTAAACAATGTTGTACCGATGAAACAAGTTTTCTCCATGCTCTCTGTAATCTGCTAAGCTGAAGGTGTGCCTCCCAAACTTGCTGGAAGCTGCAAAGGCAGCAGCGCCCCTCCATGCATCTATAAGGGGGTCGGCTGCTCTAACAAGCTTCAGGGGTGAGAGGTAGGGCCGAAACTGCCGGATTCCGGATTCCAGCCGAGGGATCATGCCTGGGATCAAAGAACAGCCTCCAGTGACAAGGATGGACTGGCAAAGGCGCTCCTTGACAGCCTCGTCTTCCATTAGTCGCCTAAGTGAGATGCTGACCATCTCATCGATACCAGCCTGGTCAATTCCTATCATACCAGGCTGGAACAATATTTCAGGGCACCGGAACCGCTCGATCCCTATGGAAATCCTGTAATCTTCTGCTGTAAGAGTCCGGACCTTAGGAGGCTCAGGAGTCTGTTGGACAGCTTCAGCTTTGTTCACAAATGTAGGGTCCATATCCTGCACATGGAAGCATCAAATAGTTTATGATTGTAAAAGAAACTATTGAGGTGTGAGATCTAAGTAAGACAAAATGGCCATCACGGCTCACAAGCAAGATTGCTTGAACGTGAGATCTTACCTGGATCTTAGAAGCAATTCGAGCAAGTTCTGATTCATCATCATCGTTCCCATCGTCGTCGTCGTCATTATCTTTGCTCATCTTTTTGTAGACTAACCAATCTTCATCTCTCGTACCAAAAGTGTCCTCGCCCTTCCCCCGATCAAATGCAGCAGATGTGAGCAACCGCATCCTTTCTTTCTGGGCGGCATTAAGACGTTCCCCACGGCCTACTCCACCAGATGAATTATGATTACCATTGGTCTTACCACCATTGAGTTTCTGTCGCTTCCTCTGATCAACCCTATCAGAAAGTTCCGAGTATCGAGCACGGAGCTCTTCAAGGTATAACTCTGGGTTCTCCCTGGATATTAAAGTAAAACATATCATAAAAGCAGCGTATAGAGCGCATGGCAAATATTTATGACAGATTCGAGAAAAATTTATCCCTTTTCATAGAGTGTATATTTCATTGATATGAGGATAATAGAATAGTAAATTGAACATTGTTTGGAATTGCAGAATGCATGCTTGATTTCCAGGGCTTATATCAGCACGAAGCGTATCACAAGAACAAAAACTAAAAAGATGGCTCTGAAATAACTGGTTAACTAACCCAGTGTACTTAAAATTTCAAAAAAGAGGATCTTAAGCTGAATGCAGATAAACTAATTATGACGGCCGTATGAATGATAAATTTCAGACTGGGGACATCGCAACTTACAAACGCCTCTCTTCTTCTTGCTTCTCCCTCAATGCTTCCTCCTCAGCACGTCTCTGCTTGGCACGCATTCGACCTTCTGTTGTGGTTTTAAGTAGTATCTGTTTCTTCTTCTCTTTTAACTGAAAGTATACGAAAGTGAAATAAGAATAGTAAATATTTGAAACATGGAAAATATCTAAACTTGGTATAATAGATATGTGCTCATGTCACACAGTCGCAAAAGGTCTCCCCAAAACACAAGCAAAAACAAACCCCTTTGCTACAGATGATAAATGGACAGACACACACCTGTTCTGGTGTCAATGTTTCATCAGGGACAGACACAAGTGGATACTTATCAACCCCAGAAGCATCTGCTTTCTCTTCGTTACCATTGGACTCCCCCTTTGCCTTCCTTAAGGATTGTGTTGCTTTCAAAATAGCAGATTTGATTTCCTGCTGGGAAAGATACCCAGATCTACCTAAAATGGCTGTTGCTTCTTCTTCCTCAGCTCCATCAAGTTGCTCCATTAGTTCCTCCAAATAAGAAAGCTGTTTTTCAAGTTCTGCTATCTTCTGCGACCTTTTTGCAGCAGCCATATCTCGCAAACGTTGACCAGCCTTTTCCTTCAAAGCTGCTTTTCTTGCAAGTTCTTCCTCAGATGGTGGTTCTTCTACAGGAGGCGGGACCCATGGTAGCTGCCAATACCTAGTTTTTTCTTCAGCTTCTTCCTTATTGTTCTGCCAAGTGGATCAATAAATTCATAGTGTTGAAAGAAAGAGCTAGAAATGTAACACGGTAGAAAAGCCCTGTGCATTCTATAGATGAACTGGATTTGGAATTTACATTGGTAAGAAAACAAACGGTAAATAAAAGTTTCTCACCTTAAATATCTGCAACTCTGACATATAATCAAGAGCTACGTAACAATGTTCCTTCTTCAGCTCTTCAGCCTTTTCCCATGTAATGCTTGCACTACTCAATGTAAAGTGGCAACGATTAGACATGGTAGGAAAAAAAAATGCATGGAGCACTTCAGAAATATGCTGCGGGCACCTACCTGTGATAGGGATACTTTAGAGAGAGGAGCTGCCTCAGAAAATCTGTGATGTGAAAGCCACCAACGTTGGTTCTGCAGCATGCCCCCAACACAGGTTCTCCCTTTAAAAACTGAATGCATATACACAGCAAAGCATTAATCAGAATGCATATGTGGACAAAGAAAGAAGATTTTATTTCACAGAACCACTTTGATGAGTACAACATAATATTTTTGTTTATTGATTGTTTCAGGATCATGACAACAATAAACAAATTGTGAAAAATACACTACAGAGAAGAATAGTCTAACTTGGATTGGATGAGTTAGTATGCAGCCTACCATGGAAAAGTAAGCAGAAATTCAAACACACAGGGCTCAAAATACAAAGCAACTTTTACCAATGTAGTTGTCCGGAAGCATCATAGATTAGATGGAAAGAAAACAACATGCTGTGTCTGGAGATCAAGAAAATACATCCCGACTTCCATGAGCAAAATGATTTAGCTAAGAATAGGGGCACTCTTTCTCTCTCTCTCTCTTTCCATGAGCATGTTATATAGCATTACCCACTACAGATTATCCAATCAGAGTTTTAGAATCTACAATGCATTCAACAATACTGTGTTCTTCAAGCATGCAATGCATTAATTTTCCGAACATCTGACAAGGTAATGGAAATGCAATGGCAAAGGATTTGTATGTTGCACAAAGTTAAGAGGAAGGCATGTGGAAGGACCAAACTTACTGGAACAACATGGCATGTTCCATGTTCACACGAAATGGCCAGTCCATCTTCTCCACAATTCCCAAGTTTCTGATTGTACTTGTAACTAAACACATCGTCAATGCCAAAAGCTGAAACTCACATAGGAAGAAACATCTTTAGCATCGACAATTCTTACTTCAAAACTACCATGCACAATTGATAACAATGGCACAAAAAGATAAGTATCATTACCAATGGATGGCACGCCATATGTCTCAAAAAGTAGTTCTGACATTCTGGCTCGAGAAAAGGATGGATTGCATTCACACTCTGTCATAAGAATGGGATGGCCCACCTGCCCAGCATTACTGTTACTTCCAGCAGCATGAAACCAAACAAATAGCTCATGTGGGAACCAGAAAATTCTAAGGTAAAAGGATGCATACAAATATATTACTATATAACCAAAGGCACATAACACTTTCTATTAGAACTATATGATACTAATGAGAAAAATCTGTTCAGAAATGCCTGCTATGCCTGGGTTATTTTTTCACTGTCACCCACCATACACTTGAGAGGAGAAAGCTCACTGATGAAGATAATTGTCCATGTCTGTCATATGTCTAGGATGGATATGCTGAATATGACATTCACTTGTCATTTAACTTGCCTGTTTTAGAGGCTGAGAGCCTGATACTAAAGTTTCCCAAAGACTTTGAAGCATTACGTTCAACTTGTGAACGTCAACTGTGTCACTATGCAATATATTCATAAGAAACTTAATTCTGAACCCGAAACCAACTGACCATTTTAGAACTCACATGCTAAATTCAAGTTTTAATAAACACTACATAGTCCCAATCATTGCACACACTTCACTTATACATAGAACTGGCATACAAAAGAACCCCCAAATTTCATCATTTTTATTTGAGAGGGACTACCCCACATTTACTAGTG